AAATGTACTGTAATTAGTAATTATAAAATTTCCAGATTGCATATTAATCTTAAAAATTTCATTTTTTTCAATTTAATAATGTCAATTTCAAACTTGCAAGTTGAACTATAAGTTATGGTAACAAATTCATTTTTTAGCTTCTATACTATGCAACGTCCCCACTATGCCGCGACTCCACTGTGCTGTTTTTTTTTTATAAATCTGACTTTTTACCTGCCCACAGGGGGGGATTTAAAATGACTTTTTTTACAAAAAATTAATTTTTTCAACTTAACTTTTGAAAGTGTTCCGGAAAGTCTGACACTTTTATATATATCTTAAATTAAAGCTAATGTAATCTACTTTATTATGTAAAAAAAACATTTCGGACTTTATTTTGTTTTCACGGTGTAAATGGCTACCAAATGCTATTTTTGTTTGAAAATTTTTGATTTTATTTTTTAAATTTTTAACTTTATAATGCTATAACTTATTGAAAAGTGTATTGATCAATATAATTTTTTTATGGGAAATACTATTTTTTAATAATCCCTTTTTCATTCGACATACTTTATCTTAATCAGGATATTAATAAGGAACTAGCAGTTTATGAAGCTTTTGGAATAATCCACCAATTTTTTAAAATTAAACACTATCTAAAGATTTGCATCGAAGCGTTTTTTTTTGATAGTGATTTTAATCACTGTCAGATATCATTATACTTGATCCAACTATGCCACGTCACCACTGTGCCGCGACCCCCCTGTGCTGGTTTTTTTTTTTATTTTATATTAGTGTTGTAAGTTAGATATTTCTGTCCAAAAGGAAAATTTGTATAATTGTAAATATGTTTTTATTTAAATTAAAATCTGGATTAATATGCACTCTAAAAGATTTAATAATATAGATTTATACATTAAAAAAATAAATAATTTAAAGAAGATTTATATAATTTGTACTGTGATGTGCTCATCTACTTTTTTAATACTGATTTATAAAAAATGGTTGACAAATATGTGTAGTTTAAGTTGAAATTTCTTGTATATATAAATATAAACAGAATGTCTCATAAGGTTTTGATTTTTCTTAAAATTTTTGATCTAATTATAATTTCTTTGAAATTTTTTTTTAATAATTATTGCATTTTTTGACTATGTCAACTAAGGTTAAAATTTTAGCACAATTACTCATTGAATTACAAGAATTCTAATACATAGAGTGGGTGTGTATTGCAGTTGAGGGCAGCCCATACTGATGTATTTACAGGTAATATTTTATTTTAATCAATAATAAAGAAATAATAAAAAATAAATTTTTACAAAAATTATTAGTCAAGAAACAAAATAATTTTAAGTAAACAAATTTTATACTGTATTAATTCAGTTGGGATTTAAACCAATACCTTCACAAGTAACTTTCATTAGCCCATCATTTGTTGGAGTTATTTCAAATCTCACCTAAAAAATACATTAAATATGATAAATGAACTGTACTATTTATAGACATTATATATAAACATAGAATAAAGAAGCTTAACCTCAAAAAAAAAAAAAAACATTGAAAAATAATACGTTTGTTAAAAAAAAAATTGGGAAGGATAAATTACAGTTAGTCTCAATAGAAATTTTAACCACTCTATGTTTATGCAATTAAAAGTTAAATTAGTTATTTTTTCACTTACATTGGTGAATTCTTCAACAATGTAAATAGCTGTTTTTGTGTGAAGTGTAATTTCTCTACACTTAATTTGAGATTTTCCGTTAGCTAATGCCATAAATATAATAATCTAATAAAATACACATAATAGAGTAAAATTTATATATAGTTAATAAAGAAATTAAGTTCTAACTAAAAATTTTGATAATTTTTTATCTAATCAATATTTGACACTTAAATTTTTTATTATAATTTTTGCATTTTTAAACTACATTATATTTAGCTACATTTTATGACATAATATTGTTTTAATTTATTGTTCAAGAATTATTATATAGTTATAATATGAAAACTATATCAAGTTAATTATGTAAAAAGTTATTTAATTAATTCCCAATTATTTAAACCACCTAGTATACATTATTAACTATATTATACGATAGAATTTTTGCAAATTTATTACTAGACATTTTATTTCAATATAACAAATATTAGTTCAATTTTATGTAACGAATAAATTACATAGGATATCATTTTATGAAATTTAAGACAATAATTTTTAATTTTATTTATAGTATTATTTAAAGGGGTCGTCGAGGCCTAGTGGGTAGAAATGTATGTTTCACCGCACAGGGTTGCGAGTTTGACCCTAAAGTACCAAAAAATTTTTTTTGTGATTTTCTCAATGGCGGTCTCTGGTGCAAGCCAGCCATAATACCCATCCCATCCATCATTGGCCAAGCCAAGAACCATCTTTGACTCATTAACATATGAAAGAGGGCTGCCACCCTCTATAGCATGTTAAGTTCAGGAAATATAAGAATGCAAAACTGATGATTATTATTACTTATAGTATTACCTAAAAACTTTTTATTTTTACAAAATATAATAAGTTATTATTATATTAAAATACTTATATGGGGAAGTATTTTATAATTAATAAACAACAGTGTTAAATTTGACCAAATTGTATGAGCAAACAAATTTTTAAGAATAAAATGTAAGTATTTTTTAAAATATTAGCTATTTATTTGATTTATCTAACAATGAAAGTTCAAAGTATTCTATTTATTAAAATTAAAACAACCCTGTTTAGCATCTAACTTAACTATTTATTTTAAATGGATTCTATTAATTTGAAACCATAAAAACAATTAATAAAAATAATACACATGAAGAATGGCCATACACACGAAGAAGGAGACTAGAAACTTATTCACCCGTTGCAGAATCAGCCCTCACATAAATATTTAGAAAATAATATTTATAGCTATTAATAATATTTTTAAGAGCAAATATAAAATTAATTTATGATACCCATAATTATTTTGCTAGTAGCACCTATGAGGATACCACCATATCTTATTTAATACTACACAATTGTGTGAGTTTTGGCAATAACATAATGTTTTTGTCACCGTGCACAAATTAAAAAGAAATAATTTTTATCACACAATTTACATTATCCATAGCATAAGCATCTACACATGACTTAGAATTTAATTCTTTTATAAGTTTATTGCAAGCTTCATCTGTGACATTTGATACAGTAGATTTTTTAAAGTCATATAAAGTAGAGCTTCCAATTAAACATTTATCATTTTCAGAAATTAATCTAAAAGTGAAATAAACTTAGTTTTAATTAATTAAACAAAATATGAATATTTCCGTATGAAACTTACACTATACTTCCTCCAGGACTAAGAGAATCTTTTACATCAATGTCAATATTAACTTTCTGGTATCCAAATTTATTAAGTTTTTTTGTTATAGCATTATATAATTCTTTAGCAATCTGAAAATAAACATTAAATATAATATAAATTAATCAATTATGTAATAGTAACAATGTTTTTTTTTTTTATTTTTGAGAAAAGACATTATTGAGTTTCATTATTATCTATGAAAATAGTGAGTAATTATAAGTCTGATCTAATGATAATATTGTTATTTGTGTATATAGTTTGCTATGAATGTATTATTATTTAAACTTGGTTTAATATATGTATTCTGTTTTTTTTTTGTATTTCCTGAAAAGTAGCAAAAAATAATTTGTGCTTTTTCTTATAAAAAAAAAACCCAGCACAGGGGGGTCGCAGCACAGTGGTGACGTGGCATAGATGGATCAAGTATAATGATATCTGACAGTGATTAAAATCACTATCATAAAAAACGCTTCGATGTAAATCTTTAGATACTTTTTAATTTTAAAAAATTGGTGGACTATTCCAAAAGCTACATGATCTGCTAGTTCATTATTAATATCCTAATTAAGATAAAGTATGTAAAATGAAAAAGGAATTATTAAAAAATATTATTTATCATAAAAAAATAATGTTGATCCATACACTTTTCAATATGTCATAGCATTATAAAGTTAAAAATGTAAAAAATAAAATCGAGAATTTTCACACAATAATAGCATTCGGTAGCCATTTTCACCGTGAAGACTAAATAAAGTCCGAAATTTTTTTTTCGCATAATAAAGTACATTACATTAGCTTTAATTTAAAATATATATAAAAGTGTCAGACTTTCCGGAACACTTTCAAAATTTAAGTTGAAAAAGTTCTACTTTCTACATGCATTTTTTATATTTTAAGCCCCCCCATATATAGGGAAATGGTCCGATTTACAAAAACAGTATGTCAAAGAAAAGATGTATATAAATACTACTTCCCGTGAAAAAATTGTACTGATCCATACATTTTTCAAAAAGTTATAGCATAATAAAGTTAAAAATGGAAAATACAAAATCGAAAATTTTCACACAAAAATAGCATTCGGTAGCCATTTTCACCGTGAAGATAAGTTAAAGTCCGAAATTTTTTTTTTTCATGATAAAGCATATTACATTAGCTTTAATTTAAGATATATATAAAAGTGTCAGACTTTCCGGAACATTTTCAAAATTTAAGTTAAAAAAATTAATTTTTTGTGAAAAAGTTGTCATTTTAATACCCCCCTTGTGGGCAGGTTAAGGGTTAAATTTATAAAAAAAATATACCAAATGAAAGGTAATTATATTATTCATCTATATAAAAAAGAATTATATTGATACGTTCATTTTTGAAAAAGTTATGGCACTTTTAAGTAAAAACGATTTTTAAATTTGTAATTTTTTTGGAGGTTTCCCCCATTTACGGGGAACGAGGGAATTTTTTTCAATTTTTAAGGGTAATGTCTTCGACTAGATACAATTTGTGATCTTTTGATGTATCGTTGAAAGAAATCCGTTCGGTGAGAGCTGAGAAAAAGTGGTAACAGACACAAAAAAAAAAAAACACATCTTAGTAAAACCAATACCTTCTCAGCTTCGCATCGAAGCTAAAATGTCCAATTGGTCTATTATTCATTTATGTTTTAAATAAAATTAAAATTAATACATACTTGATTTTTTTGGGATAAGTGAGGTGGCCCAGATATTAAAATTGTTCCTTTTATATTAGGATGTTTGCCAAAATCTTCAATAATAATAGGATTTAGTGGACCAGTAAGAGGATTAACAGTTAATTGTACTGTTCCTCCACCTTTTGGAAAAAATCCACTAAATGTGTAAAATATAAATTTATAAATAAAAATTTCGATTTTCAAATAATTTTTACAGTGAAAATTATATTTTTTTAAATAAATTCAGGATTTTATTTTTTGAGGAAACCTATATTGTTTTTCTATATGTATATTTATGATTTTGTCAGCATATATTTTAATATTGCAATTGGGATTATTTTTTTTATTAAACTTTTGAAGTATTACAATATCAAAATAGTAACAAAAATTTCATATTAACATAGCATAAAAAAATGCTCACTCATAATACTTCTTAACTTGATAAATTTTAACTTCACAGACTAATTTTCAATGGAAACTCTAAAAGCTATTTCAAAATGTTTCAATTTTTTAAGTATCAGTTAGAAAATTATTGTTATTGATCACATTTGTCACTAATAAAATATATTTTTCTATAGGTGTACTTACTACCCCAAATTATTATTTTGCTTCTCCAGTTTTTTACAAATATAATTTTTTTTAGGTAAATATCAAAACAGAAAACATCCTCACAAAATTTTTAACCAATTAGTTAGTAATTATAATAATTTTAACATCTTTGAAATTTCGATTGAATGTGCATATATACAGATTGGAACAAAATTTAACTGATAACTCTTATAATGTTTGATCCAATAATCATTTTATTTTAATTTTAAATTTGAAAAAATGTTGCATTCTTTAAATATGTTAAAATCAGATTTTTTATTATTTTAAATTTTTTCAAAAATTAAAAATGCTTTTTTTATTAGTTTTTCTAACAAAATATCCCTGAAGGGATAAAAATGTTTATTTATAATTTTTTAAATGGGAACCACTATTTTTGATTTGATAATAATAAACGATAGGAAAAAAAATTACAAACAATTTTGTTCTTATAATTTTTTTTATCCGAACAACCGTTTACGTTTTATAATTGTTTAAAGATTTTGACTACCAGAAAAAATATTGTCATTTATTACGTTTCATAATATCGGTGGCAGTGCAACCGGTAATTTTGTTAGAACCTTTAGTCTTACAAAACCATAGACTTAACTATTAATAATACACCGAAAACCTGGGTTGNAAACCATAGACTTAACTATTAATAATACACCGAAAACCTGGGTTGAATCTATTATTGTTATCACTCATTTAGTGAGTAGTAAATTTTTATTACTAATTTACCTGTCATAACTTGATCAATAAAATTTGGTTTATGCAACTGCAAATAAAAATAATGTCTTCTGTATTTAATACAGTAAAATGACAATAGAAATTTGGCCTGAAATCATTTAAGTTTAACAAGCTGTAACGAACGAACGGTTAATCAGATAAAAAAAGTTATTAGATCAAAATTGTTTGTAATTTTTTTTCTATCATATTATAAAGTTAAAAATAAGGGTTCCCATTTAAAAAAATTATAAATAAGGGATTTTATCCTTGAAGGGACGAAAAAAAAAATGATTTGACTACATATTATTGTAGTTTTTTGAACTTGAAATTTTTTCTCTATAATAAAATTTAAAATTCTCAATATTTTCTGAGAAAATGAGTGTCTTACCAGATTTCGATCACCCTGTATATATAATACACAATCCACATATTCTATTACTCATTTTATGTATTATAATGCTTGTAATTTAATAAATTTTTGTCCTAAAATTTTTTTTGACCAATGAAAAGTACTACTTGCTGGCTATTTTTAAATTTTGAAAAAATTAAAATTTTTTTTTATTATTATTAAAGTACTAATAAATTGTATAATTTTAACATAATCTAAGAAGGCATAAATTATTTAAAAATTAATTACAGTGAAATGTTAATTGTATCAAAATTTTAAAGTATTGTCAGTTGGACCTGTTATATGAGGAAATTCATCCAATTGTAAAAAGAGAATTTTGTAATTAAGATAAAATGTTAAATTAAAATCTTATAGAAAACTTTATAGTTTTACATACCGCTTTATAATGTTTGCGTTACAATCAATTCCAAATTTTTTGAAAATCGGAAATAAAATCTAAAATTGAACAATAATAAAATGATACAGTTAATATGAATACAAATAGTATATTTAGTTTGAATAAAGTTTTTAAAATCTTATAGTAATATTTTAAATGATGTTTAATTTTAAATTATAAGCATACAAGGTGTGTTTAAATAGTATCAGGAATAATAATATTACCTCTAGTTGAGACACTTAACTTTAAAAGAATGATATTATTTCACATTTTTAATCGATTTTACACATGTAGCACTGTGTAGTTACATAAAATTTTGAAGCTTTTAACTTATGTTACTTTGATTTTATACCATTTTAATCATAGTCAGTTTGTTTCATTTTGTCATGTCCAAAATTAATAAACAACAGATTTTCATCAAATTTTATTTTCAAATTGAATACAAATTTTATGGAAAAGTATAAAATTATATAAAACAGTTTATGGTGATGATTTTCTAATTTATTTACCAATTTTAAGCATTGAATAAAATGGTATAAAATGTGTAAAAAGGTGGAGAATTACCAAAGATTAACCATATGTCATTTTGTAATTGGGTCAAATTTAAAAAAAAATTATAAATGGAAAGAGTTAATGTAGAATTTGTTTCACAATTTTTAATGTCAGAACAAGAAAAAATTTGAATGATGATTAGTTATTAACTAATAAATTATTTCACTGATAGCTATGTCACTAAAATCTTTATATAGGACTATAATAATACTAAGTTTTGATAACATTTTAATCTTTTTTTTCCCTCTAGCAATAATATGGACCGCTTTGGAACTGCCATTACTTCATTACTTCAGGGCAGTCTAATAACGTTTTAACCCAGTGTGAAACAAAATTTATCGCACAAGCTTTGTACATTAATTTCTGACATCACAAATCGCTCAACAAAATAAACTGACTATGTTTAAAATGGTATAAAATTAAAGTGAAATAAGTTAGCAGCTTCAAAATTTGAATTTATATTTAGTACTATGAGAGAAATATACATTAATATTTTTTCAATTATATTAAATCTAGACTAGAGATATAATAGTATTTGTCCAGGTACTTATTAAACACACCTTGTATATATTAAAAATACATACTTTGATCACATAATCCATTGAAGGTGCAAAACTCACATCAGTACCTCCTTTCATAATAATATCTGAACTGTGTTTAGTAAATATTGCTACTGGAAGAATTGATTGAATCATTAAAGGAATACTCCTAAATTATTACTTAATTAAAAGTTAATAATTAAGTTTATATATTATAATTTATATAGCTTACGCAGCTGTTTTTGAATCAATATTTAAATTAAACTTCCCCATTTTTAATGACTTAGGATGAAATGATAACTCACAAGAATTGACTTTATCACCTTCTGTAATTGCATGACACATTTGTTTCACTAAATGAATTCCTTAAAAAAAATAGTTATGAACATTATGTATAACATAGATAGTTGAAATATTATAATTTAATCAAACATAGTTATTATATGACGTACATTAAGTTGTCAACAATATTTTTAAATTTTCATAAAAATTTATTCCATATAATTTTATTAATAAATATATTTTTGTGTTTCAAATGCATTGGATTATTGGAATAGGGAAAAAAAATTAAATTAACTTTAGATTATTCCAATGGTTAAAGTAATTAGGGGTTGGAATCCAAGAAATATGTCAAAAATTCATTAATGCAAAAACTAAAACTAAAATTTTTTACAAAACTAAAAATTATTAGTTTTTTATTAATTATTATTAATTATAAATGTATTCATAATTAGTTGGATAATTTTTACCTGCTAAGTGTTGAGGTTTTAATCCTGAGTTTGACCGCCCAGCTCTTATTTTAGTTATTTTTACAGGTTGTTCAAAAAGACTTGAAAGAGCTATACTCAATCTGATTATTTGTCCTCCCTAATATTAAAAAGAACTTTAATAATTAATCAAAAATAATTTTAGTTCGGCTAATATAAAGTAAATTTTTAAGTGACAATTTTTTTATCTAGAAACTATATTTTGTGAAAAAGTGAGATTTTAAGGAGTTTATTAAATATCATTCCTACAATTTTTGTGATTAAATAATTTTTCAGAGAAGTTTCAAGTAAATCTTGTCATAAAACATATTTAGACTAAAACTATTAGAAAAATCATTATAATAATAATTTACTGTATAATTTTCTATGAAAATTGAAATAAAATATCTGAGGTTACCAATAAATGAAAAATAAATTTTTTCTCCACCTCAAAATATTTTTATATAACACTTTACAGGGATACAACAGATCTTTTTCAAATTCTTTTAATTATTTACATTTTCAGACTGTTGAATCTAAAATAATAAGAGTTGTCAGTTAGATCTGTTTTATCTGTATATTTTTTTCAATTTGTGGGTACAATGTTGTTAAAACTTATGTATTTTATTTGATTTTAGAATGAAGTGTTAATAAAAAATGGTTTAAAAATTCAATAGCAATAATATCAGTAATGAAATCCATTCTAAGAAAAATTAATACATTTTTCAAATATTTAAATGTCTAATGTGGTCTAATTAGAATTGTCTTGGGGATATACAGAGGGAAAAGTTTCACTTCCTTTTCAAATGAAAAAAATGTTGTATATTTGGCAATATTTAATTTTGGTATATGACATTCATATAACTTCCAAAATAATGACAGTTAGTCTATTTTTACTTAATCATTAAAAGGATAGAAATTTTTAACTTTATTTTTGCTCTACTGAAAAATTTATAGAAATGGGCAGTTGTTCCTCTGCACCCTTCAATTAATAATTAATATAAAAAAAAAATTGTTTTAAACATAATTCAAAGTTTTTTTTTGACATTTAAAAAAATTAAAAGTAAAAATTTTAAAAATTGATCGTACGCCTTCTAAAATACTACCATCAATTTCTTTAAGTGTCATTCTTGAGTTTATAATAATGTTTGATATACCACTTAAACCAATAAAAGAAAATAATATTAAAATACTGAAAAAAAAATGACTAAAAACATTAGAGTTTTTTTTAAAGTTTTCATAACACTTATGGCATAGATTAAATACACATAGATAGACCACGCCGTACACAATTTTGGAAGTCCAATTTTTATCATGAATGGACGCAGGGAAACGATGCGCTGGACGCAGGCGATTGTGCTGATAGATAGCGTAAATTTTGAGTGCTTCTATTGGTTGAAATATACGTGGTATTTTAAATCTTTAATAATTATTAAATGAATGTATGATGCACATAATTANAAAAAAAAAGGTCAAATAAAAGATTTATATAAATGATTTTTGTCATAAAAAAATTGTATTGATCTATACATTTCTTAAAAAGTTATAGAAAATAAAGTTAAAAATGTAAAAGAAGTGTAAAATGTAAAATGCACTCAGACAACAGATATTGTTTATCCATATAAAAAATTGAAACTCACATTCAAGTTATTGCACATATAAAATCATAAAAACATTTCATTTAAAATAAGGTAAAAACTGATTAGACTATCTTTGATTACTGTTAATATAGTAATATCATAATTGCGCAATTTATCAAAAGTTTTCTTTTTATAACTGTATAGTTCTTTAGATCAGCTCTCCAAGTATTTATTCCACCAAGCTTCATACAGCTTCATAGCTTCATACAATTGTATCACAACTCCTATTTTTCTTACATCTTTAGTTACAATCCTCATATTTTTAGAGGATTCTTTCAAAAGGTCGTTTTCATGCTGGGTTGTTTTCGATTACATTTCTTATTATCAGAAAAAAATTAAAAAATATTTTTCTTATCAAATTAAATTTTTTTTTTGACAAAATTATCCTGTTCCTTCCCGATTTTCTTAGTGGTTGGTATAATAACTATGTACATATTTTTCATTTTAGTTTTAAGTTTAATGTTCAATTGAGAATGTCAAGCAGTTTGTCTTGAAAGATTTAGCTTTCAACGTCTGGAGCATGTTGGATTTACCAGAGGGCATTTTCATACCCTTTTTGTTATGACTGATAACGCCAATCACACTTTGTTTTTATAAAGTAAAAATTGTGTACTTTTCGAAATAATTTAAAACTCTACAAGCTGAACATTTTTTGGAAATTTTAAGTATGACAATTAGAAATATGAAATTATTAATCCTTGAATGATATTGAATAAATTATGTTAAATATCTCTTAAAATTATATAATTTCTCTTAATAGTTTATTACGTGATAGATTGTTTGAGGTTCAAAAGTATAGATGAAACTGTACTTACTTTGTACCTAATATTAATTTTGTGTAATAAATGTACTAAGTTTACGTTTCACGCTACGCGTTGTGTAGTCAATATAAGTATTTAAGAAACCGATTCAAATTTGAAATAATACGTCTTCTTTACACAAAATCTATGACTAAACTTTATATGTAATAGATTCTAAACACTATATTTTTATGATAAATAGAACTTTTATAATGTACCCTAATTTTTGTTGAATAAGTATAATTTTGAAAAAGTATATTTTATCGACACCAATATTTTTTAAAGCTTCCTCTGGTCTAGTGAAAACAAGATTCAAAAATATTATCATCTTATAAAAATTTTATCAAGGTGGTATAGTAGTGTTTGAACCCATAGATTAAATACACATAGATAGACCACGCCGTACACAATTTTGGCAGTCCAATTTTTATCATGAATGGACGCAGGGAAACGATGCGCTGGACGCAGGCGATTGTGCTGATAGATAGCGTAAATTTTGAGTGCTTCTATTGGTTGAAATATACGTGGTATTTTAAATCTTTAATAATTATTAAATGAATGTATGATGCACATAATTAAAGTTATTGTTATACACGTTATAAAATGTGGTATTACAGTACAAGCTAAACTGTTGATCTCTAAATATTTTTATAAATTATTTTAAACAGAAAGCATAATGACTCAAATAAGTATTAACTTATTGGTTCATTCTTTTTTGTAGGTATTGAGTAAATTCTATACTAGTGCCTTTTTAAAAAATATCGTTAATAAATATTTCTGACATGGTAAAAATAATTCAGATTATTTAATCTTTCATATAACTCTTTTTTTGAACAATTAATTTATAATTTTTATGAAAATAACAAAAAAAGAGTATAAAACAAATCAAAAAAATATTTATTAACAGACAAAACATAATATATATATATTCCTTTATAAAATTTAGAATTCTAGACGAGTTCCATGGACTATTTGTCTTTTCAATGCTACCTTGCTTTAAAAGATTTTTTAATTGTTTATCAACTTCCTCGTTATGACACATAGGGTATCAATTGTTTTATATTAATTGGATGAGCATTAGGAGTAATTATTTTATGTACAATTTGATTAGTATAAGATAATTTATCATCGGATAAAATTAATATATCATTAAATTGATTGTATAAATTATTAATAGACGACTTTTCTTTACTGTTTAAATGATTTAAATTAAGGTTTTGATTTAAAAGAGATAATCTATTATTATTATTAGTATTAACATTATTACAATTGATAGTATTTACATATTATTTATGAGCACGAAATCTTGTGCTAAAAAATCAAATTTAATATTATTTATAGAAATCGAAATATCTTTTTCTGATGTGTTTAAAATCGGTATGATTGCGTATTTATCTTTGATTTATGTTATACAACTTCCAATAAAAACATTTTCTTAATTATTATAGGATCATATATATAGCTAGAGATATAATTCCAGTTGTATAATTAGTATGGGTCATTTTTACTTTAATGATAGATTCTGACAAGCCCAATTTCATGAATTCATGTGACCTTACAAACTTAACACGATTAAAAATAAAATTTAACACTTTATGAGAGATCGTAAAACAATTGTACTATAGACCAGAGTTTCTCAAAGTGTGGTTCGCGGACCCCCAGGGGTCCGCGAGCACATATCAGGGTTAGGTCTTTAAAACTGTAGGTCTTTAGATGGGGGTCCGTGATTCATTTGACTTTGAGAACCTCTGCTATAGACCACGTAAAAGAGTACGATTTAATAATACGATATCTCGGCGCCAGGATTATATTTGGAATTGCATTAAAAACAGGATGTATTAGCGATGTTTACATCTTATTGTAACACGAATTATCATGCCTATTTTGTATTTTTGTGTTGTTTTTAAAACCTATCAATGTAAAAATATCCAACTAAATAAAAAATCTTTCCTATTTCATAATCACTATTCATATTTTCACTAGAGTACTGAAGACTAAGGTCCCTTTTGCGTGGTTTTATCATTTAATATATTTATTTGTATTATTATCTGTATAATTATAATTATAACAATGAGTACACAACGTGGAAATAAGTGTATTTTTTTTAATTGCGGTAAAAACAAAAGAGAAAACCCTAATCTCAGATTCCACCGTTTCCTGAAGGATGATCGATCGATGCAATAGGTATTAAACTCTGGTATGTATAAAGTACTTTTGTACACTGAAGAATAATTTTAAAAAATTGTATTTTTATATTTTTAACCAAATACTAAACCATTAAAAATAATACTTATAAACCGTTCTATTTCTCAATATTTGTCATAGCCACATTTTAAATGGAATATCTAATTCTATAAGGTAAAGAGTGAGTAGAGCTATTTTTTTATAACTAGACATTTTCTAGCCGTACTCTTCCTCTCGCTTAGGTATAAAAATATCAAATATTATTAAAATGATGAATTAGAACAATTTATGGACTATATTGGGTGTTATACACGTGAATTGTTATTTATTTTATGAACATTTGTTTTTCTTTTAAAAGTATCATTATTATCTTGAAATTACTTCATAAATGTTATTAAATTACTTATTAATTACTTGAAATAAAAATAATTAAATTTCGTAATTTCGTTACAGTAAAATAACGAAATTAAAGTAATGAATAATTTAAGTTACTTAAATTTACAAGACTGATTTTTATCAAAAAATGTATAATGTTAAAACACTAGATGAGTCGATTTGGTTACGACTATAGATCAATTTATTATTTTTAACATTTTTTTAGTTTTCAATGAAGGGTATTAAATTAATTATGGATAAATATTTTTTAGGAAACACCAGTTTATTAAATTTATCTGTAGATGAATTGTATAATAAGTATGTTTGTTGTGATCATTTTGAAGCCTCCGATTATCTTAGTGAGAAAAAAATTTATTTGTCTAAATCGGCTATACCTCAAAAATATGACAAAAATGATGAGGTAATCAAAGTTTTGACTCCAGTTAGGACTTATAAAAAAAAACAAGAAAAGACACCAACAGAATCGCCAAAAGTTTCTTTATGTGCACAACAGTTATTTTCACCCTCAACTTCTACTTTGTCACCAGCTACTAGAAATTTCATAAACAATTTAACTGAAATGCCATCCACTCCTGTTTCTCACAAAGTATCGCAGAACAATTATGAACAAAAATGTCCAAATATTTCTAGTCCAGGTACATCTTTTAAAAAATTTAAATGTATTGTTCAAAAACATAAAAAATTATTGAAAAATAAAAATTCTCTTGTGACTAAATTAAGAAGCAAATTAAAGTGTTCAAGAAACCAAGTTCAAGTCATAAAAAAAATTAAATATTCAAGTAAGAATTCTAAAATTTTAGCTGAAATGCAAATGTTTCGTAATAATAAGTCTAGAAAAATTTATTCGCGAGCTCAAAAAACTTTTGCTTTAAATTTATTTTATAAATCTCCTACAACATATAAATTTTTAAGAGACCGCCAAGGTATAGTTTTACCTGGGGTAACATCTATAAAAAGATGGATTGGTAACTCTAAATTCCGACCCGGTTTTAATTCAGCTTACCTTGACCACATAAAAATTAAAGTTGGGCTTATGTCCCAACAAGATAAATTTTGTGTAATTTCATTTGATGAAATGAAAATCAAAACTTTTCTTGAGTACTCTAAATTTTTAGATTGTGTTGAGGGTTATGAAGATTTAGGACATAAAGGTCGTTCTAATTATCTTGCTTCTCAAGCCATGGTATTTCTTGCCAGAGGCTTATATGGCAGGTGGAAATTACCTTTGGCATATTTCTTATCTGGTACTTCTATGAATCAAACAAATTTAAGTAGTTTAATTGTAGACGTAATTTCAAAAGCGTCACAAATAGGTTTACTTGTGACTTCAATAGTTTGTGATCAAGGTACTAATAATACGGCTTCGTTAAAAAACTTAGGTATGTTTGTAAAAAAACCATTTTTGGAATTGGAAAAAAATAAAATATTTTCAATTTATGATATACCGCATTTGTTTAAGAGTTTAAGAAATAATTTTTTAAAATACAATTTTATTTATAGAGGTAATGAAGTATCATTTAATGATATTAAAGAGGCCTATAACATAGATAAAAACAGTGGAACCAGTAGAGCTCTTTTAAAAATTAATGATAGTCACATTCAACCTGGCCCTTTCCAAAAAATGAGTTGTAAATTAGCGCTACAAATTTTTAGCAATACTATGTCCGCAGTGATAAAAACATGTGTAAGTACCGGACAAATTAAATCGTCAACAGCTGCTGCTTCTGCAGACTTTCTTAAATACATGAATGATTTATTTGACGTTCTTAACAGTACAAAACTTTTTGATAAAAATCCTTTTTCTTGCGCTTTATACAGTAAAAATCCCAAACAATTAAATTTTCTAAAACAAGCCAACATTATTATTAGTGACCTTAGATTATCACAACCTATTAAAAGATATGGAGTAAAACCTCCATGTTTTGATGGTTTGCTATGGAGTATCAACGCTGTTATAATGTTATTTGAGCAACAGCAAAATTTAGGATACGATTATTTAATAACTAGTAGGTTAAATCAGGATGTTTTAGAAAACACTTTTTCAGTTTATCGTCAAAGGGGAGGTTTTAATAAGAATCCTACGGCTAGAACTTTCAGGGCATCATTTAGAATTCAAGCTAAACACAATTTAATGAGATCATCTGAAACCTCAAATTGTGAGCTAGATGATGAAACTAATATTTTAGATTTACCTTTATCTTCCACTGACGAGACTAACGACGAAACTACAACTGAAAATCCTATCGATTCCGATTATAGTTCAGACACATCTGAAATATCTTCCTTCTCTAATTCCTGTCCTACCATACAAGAACATCTGACTACTGTTCCTACATTAACTTTAGAAACCTGCTCAAATGTATATTTTGCTGGGTATCTCGGTAAAAAATTATTAGATAAATTTCCATGTAAACCATGTGAAAATAAATTTCTGAAAGAGGACACAGATCTTTTTAATGACAAAGAATTTTTAATCTTTTATAAAACATTTCAAACACAAAATCAAATAATTACTGGTAAGTTAAAAAAACCAAAAGAAATTTTAATACATTTTGTTACTAATGCTCAACAAATAATTCATAATTTTTTAAATGAAAAGTCGTATACAACCCAATTGAGTTTTAAATTAAATAGTATAATCACAAATGAATTATATCCTATTGTAAATATTTCACAAGAGTGCTTACCACACTTAGAATATTTAACTAAAACTTTAATACATAGTAAACTTTTTAGAATATTTAACTTGAAGTCAAAATTTCATAAGATGGACTTCGCGGATAAATTAAAGATTCTAAGAGGACATTAATATTTTTATAGGTTGAACATATCTTAACTTCTTATTTTATCATTTTTAGTGATCTGAACTTCGGTTAAAATTACTTTATTTTTTTCAATATTTTTTTCTAAAATATTTGTTTTTAAAATTTATATTTTATATTTTAATTTATATATTTTTAAAATTTGTTTTTTTTTTTAAATATTTCATTGTATATTTGAAAAAATAAATTACTAATTTTATACATGAAAACCTTATAAAATGTGTAATTATCTCACTTATATAAATATCTCACTTAGACTTGATTACTGGTAAGTTAAGAAATTAAACACCAACTAATATAAAAATCTTGACAGTGGACAAATCGGTAGCGAGAAATTGTTATGTAATAAGTTAAGATTTTCAACACTAAGAGAAAATTAAAAAAAATAAATAATAGTCAAATTTAAATCAATATTCATAAAATAAAAAACGGTAGCACAGTGGGGTCGCGGCATAGTGGAGACATTGCATAGTTGGGTCCAGTATAGATTTAATCTGACAGTGATTAAAATCACTATCATAAGAAACGCTTCGATGCAAATCTGTAGATAGTGTTTAATTTTAAAAAATTGATGGATAATTGCAAAAGCAACATCAACTTCTATTAAAATAAAATACAAAACCCATAATTATCATACAAAAATAGTATATTTTTCAATATGGTAGCCATTTGCGTATAGAAGATAGATCGTCGGGACAAATTTTTTTTTTTCATTTTGTAGTACATAAAATAAGCTTTAATTTTATATATGTTTAAAGGACGCAGTATTTCCGGAACATTTTCAAAAATTAAGTTGAAAAAGTTAATTTTTGTAAAAAAGTTGCTATTTTAAATCCCTCCCAATGAGCAGGTTAAGTGATAAATTTTCAAAAAAATTATATCAAATGAAAGGTAGATATTTAAGGTCTTAGTATAAAAAAAAATTATGTTGATTTGTTGATTTTTCAANTAAGGTTTTAGTATAAAAAAAAATTATGTTGATTTGTTGATTTTTCAAAAAGTTATAGAAGTTTTAAGAAAAAAAAGTGAAAAAATTTCGAAAATTAGCGATTTTTAAATTTGTAATTTTTTTGGATATTTCCCCCATTTGCGGGGAACGAGAGTATTTTTTTCAATTTTTAAGGGTAATGTCTTCAACTAGATACGATTTGTGATCTTTTGACGTATTTTTGAAAGAAATCGGTCCAGTGAGAGCTGAAAAAAAGTGGCAACAGACATAAAAAAAAAAAAAACACATCATAGTAAAATTAATACCTTCTCCGCTTCGCATCGAAGCTAAAACACATGTTTTATCGAATTTGTATTTAAAACGAAAAGTTTCATTTAAATCAAATAAGCGATCGCCTTTAGTAATAACTGGTTCTTATCTTAATTTGCGCTAACGGTGTTAGCCGTACATCAATAATCGTGACTATTACTTGAATATCAGCAAACTGGACAGTTATTATTAAATATTTAATATTTCCGAGAGGATATATAGCGCTATCTTTACGTTTATAAATTAACAAAAAATCGGTTGCCAATTGTCTGAATGCCGTGGCCTATCTATGTGTATTTAATCTATGCTTATGGTTTGTCATATAGCTATTCCATTTACCAAATATTTATACCGGCTCTTTTTACATGTTCTTATCAGTACCAATATTACGTTTGTTGTGGTGAGGTTACATATTACATTTTTTCATTACACCTAATTGTATACTTAATGACAACAATTCTCATTATGTATGGGGGATCGAATTAATCTCATCCATCACCCTCTAGACTCGCTTGTGTTCAAAGTAATTTGCCTTATAGTAAAAAAATAATTTATCATTATTTAAAATATATAAATAATTTTGAGCAGTTTTCAAGTGGCATCCTTTATCATTTTTATACCTTTAAAATGATAAGGGCTAAATTGTGTCTCAAATTAATTTTTGGTTAATAATTATTATTAATAATATTAATGCACTTGATTCATTATTGTCTCGTTTCTAAACATTTATATCGGCGAAGGAATGAAATAATTATTTGTACCGGCTGAACAATTTCTAAATTATGTAGTCTTTTTCAAAGTTATCTAATTTTTTTGTTAGCAACCTCATACATTTTTACATTTCACAATTAATTAGCGATTGGTATAACAAAATATTCTATGTGGGGCGTGAGAACCCTTTACACGCCTCTCCTAAAAAACTGCATAAGATCTAATATTTTTAAATATTTTAAAAATGTTCTCTTTTATTTTTGGCTGCAAGTTGATTATAGAATATTTAAATTTTTTCACTTGAGAATAGGTAAAAATTAAATTTTCATTGGCGAATAATTAGAAATTGTTTTATCATTTTATAATAATTATTATTTTTGTTTAATTTTTTTCAGTCAAAATCCTTCTAAAACTAATTTTTAGTTAAAAATTTAGTGGGTATCAAATTTTCCTCTTTTTTGCCTAGGTATAAAAATATTAATTACTTAAAAATAGTCACAACCCGAACTTATTAACATTCAATATTTCAAAATGGTAATAACATCCAAAATACTGTTCAAAAGTTGGATCAAGTATTTTCTTAATTTGATCATTTTCTGTTTTATAAGCTTGTTAAATATGTATGTTGCTATTAAAAAAATAAAGTTAACATCCTTAAAGGGTATAAGGAATGGAACAATAAATTACTAAATTTAAAGATTAAAAAAAATATTTTCAATATGAATAATGAAAAATAGCTAAAAAAAGTCAAGCATGACTAAAATATTCAAATTTCATATTAATTTCATGGTGGATAATATTTCCTAATATATATATATTGGTGTTTCAAGAAATAGTGGCATTTTCGAAAAAAATTTTTTTTTAGTTTAGAATAGGCACTAATTTTTGAATATATAACCTCCAATATAATTAATACATAAGTATTATTTTTCTAGGGTATATGTTAATTTAAAAAATTGTTAATGGGTATACGCTGTATACCAAATAATACCTACCAAAATACAGGAAAGTATGACATACCCATGAGAAATTGCTAAAATTCTTTTTATACAGGCCAATTTTTATGGTAATTTTTTACAACGTTTAAGGTGTTTATGCAAATAATGAAATGATAAAAAAAATCTCTCTAGTTAGTATATTTACTGGATAAATTAAAAAATATATATTTTATCAAAAACTAAAATATTATTATCAGTATTATCAACCAGATTTCATTTAAAAATATTACCTACGTATATATAGTGATTTTTTCATCATTGACCATTTAATTAAACGAACTATTTTGTTGCATATTTTCTCAATTTATCAATCATGAAGTATTTTCATGTTAATTCCTTATGTATTACAAGGGTGTCAATTTATTTTTTTTAGATTATGATCTAATTAAGAAAATATCAATTTTTGGATCGATGTTTCGAAAGTAATTAACACTTAAATATAGACAGAAAGAGGAGTATGATTTAGAAATGTCTTGTGATAACATAACCTGCTCTTTATCTCCCTTTATTACTTATAATAATCACTTTATTAATTAAGATTAAGAAAATGGCTGGCCTCATGATAATTTAACACGATCTATAGATCGTTATCTAATAAATAAGCTTGTTAAATATGTACCTTATTATTAAAAAAAATAATGTTCACCTTTATATGCATAAGGGATGAACATGAAAAATACTTCATGATAGATAAATTCAGAAAAATATGTTACTAACATAAAAATATTTACTTTATTATTAGTAACTAAATTAAAAGTAATGACTACCTTGATTTTGATTTAAATCATTGATGTAATTAAATATCATATATTGTATAGGAACTATACTATATAATTAATTTTATAAAATAACAAGATAATAATGTCGTTAAATTATGGATCTAGAAGATAACGGATAATCATCTTGATAAAATAATTGCACAAAATATTATTCGTTATATTGGTGTAAGTAGCACGGACAGTTAGATAATAATATCAAGTTTTATAAATTTAGTTTGATTTCCCAAACCGTATAAATATGTATACTACATATTACTATTACTTTGCTTCAGTTCGTGTCTTCGTTCTCATTAGTTAACTATAAATTATTGTTATGATGTTATTACTCTTAAATATACTTTAAAATGAAATTATTATTTTTTATGTTTTTATTTTAATAAGTTTGATTGTCAGTGTCGTAAAATGTTAATTAAACAAAATCTGACAAGGTAAGTATTTTTTTAAACTATTTTGTGATAAGGAACTTAGAAATTTCAAGGGATCGTTTTTCTTTACCTTAAACGGAAAATTCTTAAATACACCTAAGCATGATACTGAACTGTATAATGATTATTATACATAGGATGATTGATTCAAGTAAAAAATAAAACCATTGATAAATGAACACTATTGAAATGTATTATAATTTTGATTCCCTGAATAACAAAATTGGATAATTTATGATATGAAAACTTATTTCCAATATTTAACACTAACACGTTTGATGCAATTAAAATATCATGCAAATAATCAGTTTCTAATGTTTATTTTCGAAATTCACAGTAATCTTGTATGTGTACATTTTTATTTGATCTAAGAATTTATAAATTCTTAAATTACATAAAACATTATAGACATATCTATCAAAAATCTATCTTATTAGAATTTTTTTAAATGCTGTATTAAAATCAATATATCGATTTAAAACTTTAAAAATATTATTTTATGGTTCAAAAAAATGGAATAAATTATCATACTATGTAGCGTGAGTCCATTACATTGAACTGTTCAAATTAAAGTGTACCATACAATTTATTAACTTCACATCTTATTCAATTATTATTTTATGAATTTAAAATGAAACAAAAAATTACAATATAACAATACACAGAACTAGTGTTATACATTTTTCATGCACGGAGAAACATAATTTTTAGCATTTGAATAGGTAGTCGTTGTCACTTCAATTTTGATGGAAAACATATATTTTAAATAGAAATTGCATTTAAGATAAACTGGAGTTGAATTTTAAGTAAATTATGATATAAATGAGTTTTTATATATTCTATGAAAATGGTTAATGAGCCAAAATAAATTCTTTTCTGATTTAATAGTTAAAACTGTATCAATTGAACTGTTAGTATTAAATTTTAAAATATTTTGTACGTCTAATTTAACATAAATTATTTATATTTTAAGCATACTCAATATCACGAAAATTTAAATACTTACATCTAATCATTTAATGCTTTTTCTTCATTTTTTTCTCGCCTTTATCTAAACTACTTGGGGTCGGCCACCTTTATTCTAAACTTTCACTTGACACGATCTCTCACGTCATCTACGCACACATCAACCGTCCTCATATCACATCCAGTAAAATCCCTCCATCTCTTTTTTGGTCTTCATCTACCTCTTCTTTCCTCAAAATATAATCATTTAATTATTTTTAGTAATTTGAAAATTAGTGAAACACTTCTAGTGAACAAACACCCCTGAATTTTTAATTAAAAATTTGTCTAATATTATTGTAACAAGTTGTTGTTAGCATTGGCTCTTACTTCAATATTACAATTTTCGATACAATATTAATAATTATTCATTCACTGGAAAAATATAATTTTCGACAAAAAATAATAAATTGAAATGTTCATGTTAGTTAATTATAAATATTTTTTACATTATTATTGTGGAATATTTTCCAGATAACAAATATTTATTAACTTTATGACTGTAGTATCAAATTATAAATTAAAAAGTACTTTAAAAATTGAAAAATTCATAACTGTTCATTCATTGGTGTAGTCATCACCCTATACATACTTTTAAATAATGTATTAGATATTTATTTTTCGTGTGTGTGGTCCATTAAAAAAAAATGTGATTATTCTTGACACATAATTTTTCAGACTAATGTGGAATTAGTTGGAAATATTTGACTATTTCGTTTTATCAAGAACTTCTATATTTTAATATTTGACATTCTGAGATGACAAGCTAAATAAAAGATAATTAATATATTTTTACCTCCTAGTAAGCAAACAATAATTTTAACACTCCTGAGATTTTGATTGTGTGCGCTTATGAATTATAGCATTTGCATCATAATTTTAACTAATTGGAAAATTTTAATTTTGAAACTTACGTAAAAAGGGTTTGATAATTCAATGGAAAATTTGGGGTGTATGTTAATATTGGACATTTTTTTTTTAAGGAATACATTGAATAAATAAATTTGAAGCACACAGTGTTTATAAGTATTATTTATTTATAGGTATCGTATTATCCTAATACATTTTTTTTTCAAAATATTTCTTTACGTTGTATGAAAAATTCATTTTTATTATTAGGCATTTATTTATTGTTAACATTCAGATTTAACACTAAATAAATCATTAATATTTAATTAAGCATGTAGTAAGACGTGACTAAACTATATTGTCTGACATCAGTTTGTTTTATTTTCTTTAATTTATGTTGATCTTATAAAAAAATATATTATTTAACATTGCGTTTAACTTTTACGATTTTTATATGGAAATCAGTTTGTAATGTTTTGTTGGAAATAATAGTAATAATTTTAGTTTTAGGAAGATATGTTGTTATATCTTATGACATTGACGTCATCAGGACAATTTTTTATAACGAAGATGTAACCATTCTAACTCTATGAAACGGTTTTATGAGAATATTTAAAAACGCGTTTCGTTTAACCCCAATTTAAAAAGGTCCCTATATTGTTCGTATGTAAATTGTTTAACGAAAGTATTAAATGTATTGCATAATTTTTTTGCAAGTATATATACATTTTACACCCATTAGACGACTGAACAATTTGTAGTGCGGTTCAATTATTATAAGAACAATTATTTAACTAGTTTGACAATGATAAAATTTGCATAATAGAATATCATTAATATAGTAACTTCTGATACATTTCGACTAATTAATATACATGACACAATTTTAACATTGGATGTATTTATTTTTATAATAACTAAATTTTCATAAAAATATCATATTATCTAATTTATGGACTTACTTCAGTGTTATACTAAAAAGAGATAATTTAATCGTATAATTTTTTTACGATTCGAATAAATGATAATGGAAAACTATTTTCGGTAATTTGATTAAAGTAATTTGCAATGTAAAAAATGTTGTATTTATAATTGAATAAATTACATTTTATATCATATACAAGCTTTTTTTTAATAACAATGTGAAACATCATATCTTTATTGCTCAAATCTTCTACAGTTGCGCATGCATAAATGTACTGTGTAAACAAATTAACTTATTTATGGTAACATAAAATGTATTTTAAGTGAATAAAATTCATACTAAAATAGTATTCATGGAGTTTTGAAATCCTTGAAAAACATATGGTTTGATTGTTCAAAGTTTAACAACTTATAATTTATGCAAACATTTTTATTTATAACACATTTATGAATACATTTTTACTACTTACAGTTAAGTGTGTAGTAATAATTTAAACATTATTCACAAATGATCAATATTTTAAAAACATGTCTACGATCAACTGCGAAAAGCTCTTAGAATATTGAATGCTATTAAATTTTACTAAATACAATGCAATTTTTTTTTTTAGTTCGTGTTTCATGGTTATATTAAAAATTTAAAAGTTAACTAAATGATGTTATTGTTATAACCAAAGTTTTTGGCCATAGAAATCGCAGGACATCGTTCAAAAATAATTGCATGAAAGTAGAATTTTTCAAAAACTTGATTACTGAATGAAAATTAAAACCTCATATATAATATTAAATTATTATTATATTTTATAATTATAAATATTCTATTAAAAGAACACAGACTGTTTAAATGAACATATTATATTATGAATTCAAATTTGAATTATGAAAGTTACTAGGTGTTGTTGGAATTGAATATATTTTAAGTCCTATGTTTCAATTGAATTGAAATATTATTCGAAAGATACAATTATTTAAACTGAGATACCAAAAAATATTGTATTCTACCGTATATTATTTATCAATTCTTAGATAGTCAAATTATAAGTTGTACTTAATATTTATCTCTGTCACGTGATACAATTGTGATAAAACTTTTTTGTGAAATGAAAAGTTTGAATATTTATTCTTTACTTTAATATGGAAAAACAATGTTAATTTACAATTTTGTCGAGATTATTACGAAAAGATTTAAAAAAACAATGTATGACTATTTATTATATCATTAACAAATAAACTCTTTGCGCAAAACGATAAAAAGATAACAATAAAGAGTATTCAATGATTAGCAGTACTTAAAATTTTATTTTTTCTTCAAAAGTGTCCATATTGTTAAGTGATTTTTACTTAAATAATTTTCTCAGAATACATTAAAGATGTTATTGAATGATAGCAAAATAGTTGAATTGAATGATGACGCTTAAAATGAACAAAAAATTCCAACAACGTTTTTGTCAACTGTAATTTTTTAATAAATATTTTATATCTGATACATATAAATTAGTTAAATTAAATAACATAATTAAACGAAGAGTAAGGCCACTAGTTGTAAACAAACACTTAGCTAATTAGAAAAAGTAATTTGCGAACTAACATATTCACTTTGACTCTAAAAATGTAAATATAAACAAATGTATGCATTTGTATATTATATTATAGTTTTAAATTAGCATTTAATCTATATAATTACAAAAGGAACTTCAAATAATCTTTAAAAATTAATTCTACCGTAATAAGCTTAAGTTTTAAAATAAAGTTTCTTATATTATTATGAAAATTGTTCAATGTTATTTAAATTTATTAACATTTACGTATGATGTATATTATACAAATCTGTAGCTATTTTGATAAATTAAAAAAAAAGTTATTATATTTTAAATACTAAAAAATATAATTTAAGTTTTGGCCATACAGTTTATCATCAATCTTTGTCGCTATCATCTCCTATATATATATGTACGCTCCTGTATAAAATTGTGAAAATCTTTTGATTTTTTAATTGCATACAAAATTTAAAGATAATAATTATTTTTACTATATTTAAAAAAAATTTAGGCATGGATTGGACTACGATTTTTCACAATGAACATTGCAATTTGTAATATAATAAAACAAAAAGTGGAGGGTGACTATAACTCATTTATTACTACTAAACAACACTTAAATATCACATGATTCTGTTATTGCTGTTCAAGACATAGATAGTTATTTTAAGCTCAATTCCTTCATCGGATATAATTCATATATTTTTATTCGGCAAAAATTATTTTATTTTAGTGTCATTCTATTAAATAGTCTTTTAACTACAAGTGTTCTACGATAACTTGACTTATTAAAAAAAAACCTAAGTTGCTCGACGAATCACTTATAAGCTGTTATACTGTACATAGAAAAAGTGCAAGGGCATTTTTATCACAATTTTCTCTTAAAAACCGTAACGTATTACATTTTTTATACAATAAAAAAAGCACACAATTGTCCCTAAATTTAGTCTATATTAATTATTTAAAATCATTAACTTCCTAGATCGATTCAACGACCAACTACCTTTAAACTATTATGATTTATATGGTTATAACTTTCAATAAATAATTGTGTCCAAATAATTTCGCGACCAGAATCTGCTGTCCATTAGTCGACAGTTGATTTAGTAATACAAAGTACAACAATATTTCATAGATATGTTAAGAATTTGTAAGCAATATCTTCTTACAATAACATTAATTGTATATTTGAATGTAGGTATTACGGGGATGGCACTGTCCTAACACTCGGGGTGCTCTGCGCTTATCGTGGCGATATCGATCCTGTCGCGACAGTAGTGGGGGTTAAGGCACAGTCGCGGTATAAACGCTGTATGCCCGTTCGACGCACAGCATACGAACGCGCACAACGTTCCGAGACCACGTCTATAGTGAACGTCGTGAGTCAGGTCGCGGGTTGTCTGAAGGTGCGATGCGATCCCGGTCGCAGGAAACCGGTAGCACTACAGCTAACGATCAACGACCAAAATTACAGCGACGGCATGTCAACGGCCCGCTGTTGAGTAGATCATTTCAAAAGCAAAACGGTCGTGAGTCATTTATTGTGAGTACCTACCTAGTGTATTTCAATACAACTTTAGGCATATCGTTTGTTATGAATTGTCCCAGAGAACTTTTGCCAATGTGTAATTTTTTGTACGAACTCGTGTACATTTAATCAATTTCTTGTCAACCGATTGGCCTATAAGATTGGAGAGTTATTAACTATTCCCAACTGGACGATTTCTAAGGTATCACATGAGTCAATTCCGTAATTATGTGGCTTTGTTTTAGTTATAGATATTGTGTGGATTTTTGAAAAATCCAAACTTTGTTAGGTTTCAAACATAATTTAACTCGAGTTTAGTAATAGCTCAAAGAAATTCTAGTTTACACACGCGCAATATTTTGCAATTTAGTTTTTCAGGCGGTTTAAAATAATAATGTTTGCTGAATTCGAATATGATTATTTATTAATAATTAATAATTTATACAATAATAAATTATTGTTTTTAGTATCATACGGTTGTATAATTTTTTTTGGCGCGGTGTTACAAGTTTGATATTTTAACACACCTTTAAAAAATTACTCAATCAATTTCCATTGAACAAAATTCGTTCAATATAATTAGATAATATTTGCACTCGTATTTTCATCCTAACGTAACATCTTATTTTTTAATAATATTTGTTCAACGATTTTGTGTTTCACAATAATGTTAATTGTATGTATGTGTTTAATGATAAAAATGACACTGTCCAACCGCGAGGAACGTCACTGTTTATATCGATTGCGAGTTGTCTATGGAACTGTGCTAAATACGAGCTGCTCGAACAATCAATAAATTGTACACTACTGTTGGGTTTTATGTTTGTTATTTTTAAAAATTTTAAATAATTTTAGTTTTATTTAATAGCTACACCAAAGAATCAATCTAACTGCAGTTTAATAAATTGATTTGTCAAGTACAAATATCCCTGTGAACTTGATCGCGGTGTATTTGGTATGTTTCATATTCATTAGGATTTTTTTGCGCTTAACGTTGTTTTAAAAATTAATAATTACAAAATTTCTTAAAGGATTAATTGCTATTTTTTGTGTTGAACACAATACTAATGTTTTCTATCATCAAGCAAAAAAACGTAATTAAATGGTCAAACAGACGATATGGCATTGTTGACATTTTTTTTTTGTTTTAAATGACAAGCATTCATATATTGTTTACATGCGTATTACTGTCAGTGGCGTTCTCCGAGTGTAATATCAATAAATTGTACTATCCATTTCTCAAATGCCTCTGGACGGAAATTCTTGTACATAAATATTGTCCACTTGTTGTTTCTTATAATTCAACGTCTCTATATAATTTGTTTTTCTTTTCATTCGAAATTCATAAATAATGTTGTGCCAGGACATAAGATCCTTCTGATTTTATCAGTATTTGCTTGTTTTATTCGTTTCATTATATGATAAATACACATTATTTCGATATTTTGCACAGCAAAAACCACTGACGATCACTGCGTGTTTTCGCCAACACATTACAAATTATAATTTGCATTTATTCGCCACGTAGAAGCAGTCGGTGTCACAGCCGGTTTTAATATACACCAGAGGCCGAAAACCGGCTCTTATTGACCCAAATGGTATTCAAACATTTTATGGGTCAATACTTTAATCGCATTCATCAATTTAATTCGCACAACGATAGCTATGGTGTTCAGTAGATTTAATAAATTATCTAAAAAGACATTTTTGAATCGTTCTACAACTATGGTAATTAATAGTGATTGTTTGTTTTGTTAAATGTGACTTAATTCTCCACTTCCACTGTAGATTATTTCAAAATGTGAGCACGTGCACATGTTGTATTCTTAAACAAATCATCACAGAAATTAGAGTAATGTAATAATAGTTATACAGAGATTGCGAGAGAACAAGGGTATATTAATGTTCTTTCTAGATGATCCAACGGTATTTCACCGTCGGCCTTCGTGACAGACGTGCTCAATTGCCACTAACAGAATAAAATAACCCCCTTGCAGAAAATTCTACATTAGTTGTACGACTTCCACAGAGATTTTTACTTAACGTGTGCTTGTATTATTTTACAGAACTCCTGCATCGCCACAACATCAACATCTCAAAATGAGTCACAAGAAAAAACCCAAAGAAGACGATCACGAAGCGTTGGCTGGAGAAGAAGTTACCACTGGTGAGTAGTGATAAACAACTTTAATGCTATTTTATATTTAGGCTTTTTACAAGAAAATCGAATTTAGTATTCTTATGTTTAACAAAAGTATATTGTTAATTATTTATTGTATTTTTGCACATTGTATCCTTAAGATATTCGCATTGTATAAAAAAAGCATTCGACATTTTCAAGGTCTTTTTAATACTTAAGTGTGTACATAGTTAATATTGAATTATGCTTAGTTTATGAAAATTTGATTTATTATTAACTATACTAATAAATATCAGTGATAAGACGTTTAAGATGCATCAAAAAGGTTAATTTATCATATAAGAAAGTTAAAATTTTATGTTTTAAATGTACTATTAAAGAAATGGCTCTTATTAAATTCATGATTAATTCTCGATAAAAATAACATTGTTTATTATTGATTAAGTCAAGGAATATATTAAATAATAGCCATTCTTTGTTACAGAAATAATTACTGTTACACCACATTTGATACACAGCTGATTGTATCGTTTGATTTAATTGATTTTACTACGAACAAGTATCATTTGTTTTAATAAAACAGCAGAAAAATCAATATAATTTAACAAGTTAAGACTGACATATTATATGATTTGCAAGGGTAGACAAATTAACATAACTTCTAGTCTACTTTAAACTAAAATTATTGTGACATAAGTTCTTAAATCGCATATTAACTTATAGGATAAAAATGTTATTAAGTTCTACTCGTAAGTAAAATTTAGTTTGTAAGATTCAGACGATTTTGATAATAATTTCTGTAAGAGTTGTTGAATAGATAACCTTAAACGTAAATCCGTATTAAGATAAATTTTTATTCTTTTACTAGAGTTTACTACACCCAAAGAAAAACCTCAATCAAAATTGAAAGAGAAATTTTATCAAGGGTTTATGATAATGTTTTATTAATACGAACAAAATAACTATTCTTATAAATAATTATTGTTCAAGACAAGAAAAAAAAATATCATATTGATAAATATATCATTGATTCAATAGTAATGATATATTTATCAAATCAAACAATGAATTTATTATATAGATCGAGGTTTTTCTCTGGGTGTACATATTTTTTTCAATTAATTATTGCAAAAATGTATAATAATAATCACACTTTATACGTTTATTCATTTTTTTTAGAACTTATTGGATATTAATATAACTATATCTCAATATCGATAAAAAAATTTTAAATTCTAATTTATTTTAAGTGTTTATTTTCGAAAATTATTTTAACTTTCAATGATATAAGCATGACCTACCTTACAATTTGACTTTTTTTATTATTTTAAACGGCTAGGGGTTAATGGATAGGAATTTTGTGGCTTTTCTACAAATTTAAAGGAATTGAAACTAAGTTTTAGTCAAACCTAGGTATAATAATAATTATAATGAATTTCAAACACAAGACTTTAATTTGGCTTGTGTGTGCATTTTCACATATTATAAGCGTTTATATAAATAAATATTATGTTTGGTTTTTCTTCGGGTGGGACTGTGGTAGAAGGGTCAAACCATTGCCAATGCCAATGTGCTCACACCGTTTGCCACTGACCTCAACGTAGCTACGTTAAATATACTGAAATACTTGTTGAAATATACATAACCTTTTGAAGGTTATGTATATATGTTCATTCATCCAAAGAAAATTCACAAAATAAGTTATTTTAATGGATTTGACACATGTGTCAACAAATCCACTTAAGCTTTATTTTATTACTGCATAAAAGGAAACACCTAAAATTTTTTATTTTTGTTTTTGAAATTTGAGGGGTAACTGTTTTAGAGCTAAATCTATTTTCAAAATCATAAAACTTAACGAATTTTCAATTTTATTTTAAAGAAAGAGTTTGGTGACTCTTAGTTTATGTTAATATTTCCTTTAAAGAAACAATACTTGCTAACGTTTTAGGTAAAAATATTGTTTGAGTTTATTGAGTTAACATGACACAAAGTATTATGTTAAAAGAGAATTATAATACTTAACGAATTATTACAGAAATAATATACCCACCAGGCGCGATTCCAGTGTGTATTTTTCTTACAGTAGAGGTGGTTCATAAGTAATAAAACAAGATATTGTAATATTTTACAACATCCAATTAAATTTACATAAAAATACTGTGTATAGAATAGAAGGCAGCCGACGCATCACTTCTTTAGGTCTGCGCCAGGAACCTACTGATGGTGTTGAAATAACACATATAACTATTTACTAATAAAAATTTTTTTTTTTTTAGATGGGCAGAATTACGTGCTTGTGCCCCCGGATGGTGGATGGGGCTGGTTAGTGTTGCTGGGCAGTACACTAGTAAATATGTTGATTCCGGGTACGCTTAAGTCATTCGGTGTACTGTTCGTAGAGTTCACTGAGGCTTTTAAAGCGCATGAAACTGCTGCTTCTTGGATACCTGCAATCTGTTATTTTCTCTACTGTTTCTTGGGTAATTATCGTCGAGTTTGCTAAATCAATAATAACAATATTATGTTTCTGCAAAAAAGTGCTTTGTCGATTTGCAATCCAACTCGCTGAAACTTTTCTATCCCTTCCTCAAATACTGGCTGTATTTGAAGAAGGCCAACCGAACCATTAATCACACACGCTACCGTTTGTTGAAATAGATTTGACGCTTAATAGCAAACACACGCTGCCATTTCAATGACAATCGATTATACGATACCTTTTTAATACTTTCTGTTTTGAATATCGCTTTTGTAATAAACAGCGATACTTCTAACCATAACATGGGCGTTGTTCTGATTTCAATATCAGTCGTCGTAAAAATAAACACAATTAACCAACCCCTTGGATGTTTTTTAATGATGGGTTCAAATTTAGATAATTTAATTATGTTTTAAAAAATTTAATTAAAATTGAAAATGTCTGTATTGTTTCACTTCTGGTGAACGTATTTAATGTTATTTTTTCGTAAACACTCTATGGAGCCATCGAATAGTAATATTTTTTAAGTATTATCACAATTTTTTCGTTTTTATTTGTTAATGAACTAATAATTGAAATTGGAAGAAATAAAATTTTAGTAGAATTTTTAATAGGAGAGAGAGAGGTAATATCAAAATAAATTTTTAATGACTTTTTAATTTATAACGTAGGCAATTCTTGGAGGCTCAATCCCAATATACTTTGATTTTAACTAATATTCAACTTTCAATAGTGACTTAATTTTCAGCTACATATTAACTCATGACATTACGTTTATATGTACTTTAACCGTAAAATAGTAAATTAATTTTTTAGTTTGTTAAGTTAAACTTAGTTGTCTATCCCAAAAGTCTCGTGTTCTAATATTGTTGCCAAAAAATACTGTCAATGTTGAAATTTTGAAGTGTAAAAATATTCTGGTAAAATTTTTAATGGACTATTTATATTTACTTCTACATTTTAAAAATTTTTTTAGGGTGATATTAGTATAAATTTTATGGTTGAGTAGCTATTGTTTGGTACAGTTAATTTCTGTGTCCACAGTTATGATTTGTGATAATAATTAACTGAAAACGAAACTTAGGGTGACTACTCTAAGGTGACGGATTAAATAGAACTTTAAAAAAAAAATTTCTTTTTATTTGGCGACTCACTTATAGAGTTTTACACTAAAAGGACTTAAAATAAATTATCTTAAAGTACAAATTTTAATATGCTCTATTTATGTCATCAAAACAATAAATTATTTTTTTTGCAATTACTTATACATTAGTTGAAAAACGAGCAGGTAGCGATTCAGTCATTCGTGTGTAATATTTTTAGAAAACGTTGTGTAAGTCGTTATTTTTATTTCCTAAAACTTTGTAACTACAGCCAATTTTTGTGCAAAAAAATGTTAAAATAATTTATCTTTTTTAATCATTACTTGTATGGATTTTATTACTTTCAATAAAGTGTATTCTTAAGCAATTTTATTTTGAAAACAACATTCACTTCTAGTGAAGTTTCAATTTAACAAATTTTTAAACCTCCAAATGTTTCTAGAATATTTTCAAAAGTTAAGTTGAAAAGATTGACTTTTCATGCAAAATTTGCTATTTTGAACCGTTCTGTGGATGGGTTATATTTTCAAAAATGAAAGGGAAATACCTAAAATATTTAAAAAATAAAATTTTTATGATTTACCCATTTTCAAAAAAATTATGACAGTTATAAGTAAAAAAAAAAGTATAAAAAATTTCGAAATATACCAATTTTAAAAATGGGAATCTTTGGGAATTACGTGAAGCGAGAAAAACTTTTTTAATTTTCAAGGGTTAACGTCTCTAACAAGATATAATTTTTGATCTATTAATGTATCGTTGAATAAAATCGGTTCAGTGAAACTTGAGAAAAAATAGTGACAGACACAAAAAAATAAAAAAATTAATACACTATAGTAAAATAACATCTTTTCAGATATTTATTGAAACTAAATCGTTTTATAATGATTTTGTCATTCTTTTTTTTTTTTTTTCATCTTAGATTTATTAAATATTTTTTCAATATTATTTTAATTTTAATATGTTTTATGATGTGCAAAATAATATTTTACTTAAATAAGTTGAGTGAATATAGGTGATGCATATTTTTGTATGTACGAAGTGCAGATTGCACTAGAATGTTTATGCGTTTAATTTCAGACTACATAATAAAATCATATGACTTATCACTCAGTTTATCTTGGTTACATTTCTAATACCTACATAATAACTGTTATAAATTATTATCGAGTTCAAATTTATTCAAATTAATTCAAATTTATCAAATACCGAGAACACAGTTATGCCTGAGCTAGTTACTGTTCAAAGAAGAATCACAATCAACGCCATAAAAGAGTTTTTCGTACATACGATGTGATTTAATAAATATAAAACTGCCCATTATTTAATTTTTTACAATCAGAAAATTAGTCATTAGCTCACTAATTTTCATTTAATTTTATCAATTCGTCATAAAGCTCGACCAATTTTATAGTTAGTCCTTTTAAAAAATTTCTCTGCGTTGTGGTTTTATGTACATTATCAGTTTTCTAAGTTTATAAATTCATGATAAATTTTAGATTATTTAAATGAGGCCACATTAATAACAATTCTATTTTCTTTGTTTCACGTTTCCTTTAGTGGATTTTATATTAGTACAGACAATTCTTCAATATAATTTTTTAATTAAAAATCATTAATTCGTGGATTGTTCTATAGAAATAACATTTTTTAATAATATCTAGTATTATATTACTTATATTTAATGCATAGGTCCTTTATCGAGCTATCTGTCATCAATATACTCTTACCGCACCGTTACACTTATCGGAGGAACATTAGCTTCTTTGGGCCTGATGCTCTGCTGCTTCGCTAACTCCATCGAATATCTTTATTTCAGGCAAGTACACACTAATGAAAAATAGATTTCTCGTCGTCAATAAATTGTTTAATTTATTGATATAATACCTTTAACAGTAGTATTATTTTCCAACGAAAATAATATTTAACATCTGATGTACAAAAGTTTAGTACTTTTAACCTGAAATAATAATAAATCTCATAGGGTCGAATTTTTTTAAATCCAATATCTGAATACCTAAGTAAGTTATAATATTTCGTTTTAGTTATGGCGTGTTATTTGGTTCTGGTGCCGGATTAGCATTCCCTCCCGGAATATTTATTGTAACTTCCTATTTCGTCAAATACAGAGGATTTGCAAATGGTGTTGCGATATCAGGCAGCTGTTTGGGCTCAATGTTTTTGCCACCTTTCTTGGGATATTTGATTGAACATTTTGGCTACAGGTACGGCAACCACTTATCTAAATGCTCGCGTAACAAACATAAGTTTGTGAACTATTGATGGTCAAAATAGTACATTTTATACGAGAGTGAATATTATTTTTCATTAGTCTTCTGAACTTATATATTTCTATTCATTGTTTTTACAGAGAAGCTGTTTTAATACTCGGGATGCTCACTCTTAACGTTTGGGTGGGAGCCATTTTTTATCATCCCGTGGAGCAGCACATGGTAAAACAATACATAGAAGATGACAATACAGCAGCTACGATAGAAGTAGAAAAAGTGTCAGTATTTTCGGCTGAAGACAATTCCTCGGCGATAGAAGTGATGTCGGCAGACGGATGTGCCGGTAGACGGGGAAAATCAGAACCGCCAATGGTAGCCCAAGAAACGGTGTCGTTGTTGGCCCAGAATCTCAACAGTTGTGTAATCGTTAACGAGTTGAACGCATCTAGTGTGAAAATACCTCTGGACGACAGGTTTTTGTCAACTACCGTTGATAAGAAAATGCCGTTCAGTAGTTGCAACTTGGTGCGCACCGAACATTCCATGCATGACCGGAGTAGAGTAAATGCATCGCTGTCGTCACTGCGATACGTTAGTACACCTTTTCACGGGAGTACTTTGGTGGGTCTCTATGAAGAGTCGCAACCGAAAAAAGCCGAAGACGGTTGCTCTGGTCCTATGGCCAAAATAATGTCATCGTGGAAAAAACGACGTACGTCGTCCGGACCTTTAGAATTGTTGTCCGATCCCGTGTTCATAATCATATTAGTGTCTAACGCAACGACAGCCATCGGATACACCAATACTGCTATTCTGTTACCGTCGTACGCTATCGGTATCGGGCACGACAAGACAAGTTCGCAATATCTACTATCAGTAGTGGCCGTACTCGACCTGGTTGGACGCATTGGTGGCTCCACGCTGTCCGACTGGATACGGTTGGACAAACGGTATTATTATCTTAGCGGCCTAGTGTTGTCCGGCGTGTCGTTGTTCGTGTTACCGTTCGCGAACAGTTACGCCGCATTGTGTTGGGCGTGTGCAGCTTTTGGTCTCGGTGCCGGCGTTGTTGTCGGCATTACGGCCGTCATCATGGTGGACATGCTCGGCGAAGAGCGGCTGTCCTCTTCGTACGGCATATCGCTGTTGTGCAACGGCATCATGCAGCTGATCGGTCCTCCTGTGGCTGGATGCATATACGAAACCATCGGCTCGTACGGACCCGTTTTTCACGGCATGGGCATCATACTGTTATTCGGTGCATCCGTGTGGGGGTTGGTACCTGTGTTCAGGAAGAACGTCGAAAAACTTTAGCTGTGAATATTATTTTGAAAAACAGGGGGCAAAACAATCGGAAAATCTAATGGAGGATAGTCGACTTTCAGTTATGATCAATTACACCTGCAACGCGAATGGACTGATTTTTATTTATTTAGACTTGTCAGATAACACAAAAAAAAAGAACGACGTGTATATTTTTTATCATGTGTAATTCACCATAATAATAAACATTTTTATTACTGCGCAACGGTTTGAATTCGAACAAATTATTTTGAAAAAAAAGAACCTCTACGAATATTGTACGGTATTCATTGTTAGTCCTCATAAAATATTTTATTCCATTTAATTGTAACGTAATGTAATTTATAATATTTATACGCATATTGTCTAATACAGTAGTGCCACTAAATTAATTTTTTCCAAACAAGGCGCGATGTTTTGTTTTTGCATAGAGTTCCTCTTGAAAATACTAATTTTTAGTCATACATAGTATTATTACAGTAAACATTGTAACATTCATTGTACTGTGTTATATACGTATATTTTAATAAGTTTGACGATAATTTGTCAAATTATTTATTTCTTCTAGAACTTAATTTTTTTTTTGTTAAAATATTGTCAAATAATTTATTTTCCCCTTTTTTTGAAGAAAGTATTCCCAGTGGAGTACATCGCAAATTGGTCCTAACATTTATTGAATTGTGGTGTTAAAAACGACGAATTTAATATTATAAAATAAGTATGATAATGATTTGTACGTTAATTATTTTACATTTGCGTACATGTTGTTTTATTACTTATGCTCGACCGATATTATATATTTTATGTCAGTTACCATAATGTAAAATCTACGAAATGTTAATTATAAAATGTCTATACTTACCAAACAATCGTGATTGTAGTGATGGTAATTTAATAATGATGGAATTTATTTGATAACGTTACTAATAAAAAAAAAGAATATTTATTTTATGTTATTGAAGCTCACAATTTTTTTCTAAACAAACTATGTGAATAACTTGTTCAAAATTTTATGTATATAATATTATTACGTATAGTATTTATTATGAATAAATACAAATGATTTGTAAGTACCTTGTTGAAATATTTAGAGAATTGTCAAAAAAATGTAATATATGTTATTGTATTTTAGAATATAATGTTTACAATATAATTAATAAATTATTATATTTATCTATGTTTTAATTATCATATTCATAAATGCAATTTTTTAAATGATAGTCATTATTAGGCATTGATGACTTAATTATTAAGCGTATATTTTGTACATATATATATAATAAATATTGTAATAAATTATTCCTAGTAATGACGTATGATATTTGAACTATTTTACAATTTAATTTTTATACTTTAAAGTAATCTCTTAATGTGCAATCAATTGCAACCATTGATTTTGTTTTTTACTCAAGTCTTTCCCTCTTGTGGTTACGTTTCTGATAGAGTTATCAAGTTCACCAGAATCTCATTTAACACTTAATCAGACAATTAGTTTTAAAATTTTTCAGTTTTCCTCGAAGTATTTAATACAAAGGATGACGTAACCCTTTTATTTAACTTATATCATTATTTTTTCATTAATGCGTCCATTTTCGACAAATACTTACGCATAGGATATTTTTGTTTAAATTTTTTAATGATTTGAAATTATTATTCGTTAAAAGAACGCAAGATACAATTTCTTCAAAATAATATGCTGTTATATAATGACTAAAATTATTTGAACTTAAGCTAAATATTTTTGAAAAATAAAGGCTTTTTTCTAAAACAAACGAGTTGTTGGGAAAATTTATAATTTAATGTAATATCATAGATCATTAATAAAAATGTTAAAATACGCTAATTATCTTTTAGATGACTTTCTAACCGAAAACCCAAACAAAAACAAATATCATCTTAATATTTAGAATTGTAAAATTTATAACATGAATTAAAGTTGATTAAATTTGTTCTGTGACGTAGTAGTTTTCGAATATTTGTTGATAGAATCAAGTGTTAAAGATTATTCCGCTTTACTAGTAATTACTTTTGATAAATTATATTTGCATTATATAACGAATAAAGACGTTTAACAATAATATTACAATAGACTATGCTTCGTTTATTTTAATGATTATTGCGATAAAAACTGATTAGTACAATCTTTGTATTTAAACAAACTTTTTACACTATCACGAAAAAACGGTTTCATAATTAATCTTTGAAGTTTGAAATAATTGTTCCACCGACCAGTAAAACTACACACACCGGTGATTGGTATGCGAAGTACATTGAAATACATTATCGGTTTTCGTAATCGGTTTCCGGCTACTGTTACTTTTCTGTTGTGATTCATGTCAGTGTTGTCTGCTCGTCTATCATGTATACCTTGACTCGATAAATCGTATTTCAATTTGAGTGGTCCGATCGTATGTGTGCGTTTAAAAAAGTGATGAGATTTTTTTTATTAAACCCTTTTTGCGGGCATTTAGATACAAAATGAATTTCCTTACAAATACCAACAAATAATAATTCCGCAATCTTTATCATGAACGAAGAAGATAATTCCCAGAATGATCAAACAGAGCCGGACGAATCTACTTACATTCTTAGAAACAAAAGTACTTACACTATCACTAAAAATTTACGACGATGGGGTTAGGATTAAACGGGAATATAAATAGATATATACACACAATTTATAAATTTCGGGTTAAGACCTACAAGAAATTAATTGCAGGCATTCCTATTTGTTTTTGTCAGGACTTCAGACGGAAAACCAAATTTTGATCGGTCCAGATGGTGACTGGGGATGGTACGTGGTCAGTGGGTCAGCTTTAATAAACTTTCTCATTCCTGGTATGCTGATCACATATGGATCGGATGTGTTAGAAGAGTTTGTGAAAAAAAATGAATTAGATTACGACGATGACAAAAAATATTACAGTCTAAACGATGTCCGTTGGATACCTTCCGCTTTCCAGTTGACGTTCTATTTAACGAGTGAGTTGTAATGGAAATTAAATTCCTGTGGAAGGGACAAAACTTTTTGATTTATTCAATTGTTTAACTTTAGCTAATGTTTAAGTAACAGTTATTTTAAATAGTATATAAAAATATCGAATTTTCAAATAATAAGAGTGATTGTGGCCATATTTATACATTAACACACTTAACAAGTGTGATACGACAGGTCAAAAAATTCATGTCTGATAAATGCAAACTTTAATAACTCGAATTCAGAACTTGTTAGGTACTTACTCAAATTATTTTTTTTTTCAAGTATACTTATATTTTTAATTGTCCTACATTTATTTAGTACTGATGCATTATATCATGATATATATATATCGAATTAAGAACTGGTTTTGTATCCGGAAATCACATGTAAATATGAGATTTTAGCCTTGTTCAATAATTACTTGTTTAATAATTATGACTATGTACGCTCTTTATAACAATTATAAAGTATTTATCTCTAAACATACGATATTTGCTATTATCAAAAAAATAATTATAGATTTGCTGTGTTTCATTCACTGAGAATTACAGATAATAGTCCTTTTATATTTTAATTCAATACCTAAGGAAAAGTATTTTGCTAAATAAAATTGACTATAAATCTAACTTTTTCATTTAAAAATTCAAATATATTGACTTAATTATTTATTTACTGTGAAAATCTTAATGAAGGAACTCTCATTAATAGTGTTTTTTGTTAGGCTTGAAAATGGCAAATTACCATAATGTAAGAATTACCTTTATTTCAGGTACTTTAGCATGCTTACTATGTGAATTTTGGTCACACCGTGCTATTACATTATGGGGAGGTTTTTTGGCTTCAACAGGCATGCTTTTGAGTTTTTTTGCCAACTCTATTCCATATCTTTATTTCAGGTATCAAGCTAGTACAGTGAAATGTTTATTTCTACAGATAGTAGCAAAAATAAATTTATTTTTGATCCTGGAACCCCACCCTATTTTAAAACAAAAATATTTTGGATTTTGGTTTTGCCATTTTTAGGCTCTTATATCACCATAATACCACCTACATTTATTTCTGCTACACTCTGTATAATTTTTCGTATAATTAACATTTATTTTAAGTTCGAATAATACATGTTTTAGTTATGGAATGATGGTTGGTTTTGGAGCCGGACTTAGTTATCCAACTGGAATACTAGCCATAAATAAATATTTTAATAAAAAACGAGCTTTGGCTGTTGGAATAGCCACGGCAGGCACTAATATTGGAATGATAGTGATGCCGACCTACATAAAATTTCTAGCTAATTCGTATGGTTGCAGGTACTTGATAAAAAATGTTAAAATTGGTAAACTAACACGTACACATAAACTATCACAAGACTACCAAATAAAACTGTGTCTTTTTAATCGAAACATTATTTGATTGTATTTTTTTTTTACCGTGTACACCTTGTTTTTTATGTAATTTATTCACGATTAAAGACTCAAGATTTTATTTTAGTTAGGTTTTTAAAACTACAGTGTACATATTTTAAAATGTAAGGATTTACTTCAAAATATTATTATTTCAATTTTTAGGGTATTCAGATTTATACGTCTTGTATCGAGTAAACAAATTATTTTTAACTCATATAAGAAAAATGTGTATTTAGAACTCGCCCTCTCCCATAAACTACGTCCCAGCATGCATTATATATAAATTCATATAATAGATAGATACAAGTGTCTTTTTTAATATAAAATTTTAAATATTTATTTACAATTCTCTTAAATTGCTTGAAGTGCTTGAGGATATATCCATGTTTACAGTTGAGTTCTGACGTTTCGGACTCAACTGTAAACATGGATATATCCTCAAGTACTTCAAGCAACAAAACAATCCATGAAAGTTTTAACACATTCATAATTCTCTTAAAGTTATAAAATATGTATTTTTTCCTCCTTTTTAAAGGAAACTCCATAATTTATTACTTCATAATACACTTGTATTGTGCTAGAATATAATGTGATTATTTTCATTTTTCAGAGGAGCGGTTTTGATAACTTCTGGATTAATGCTAAATGTCATAGCTTGTGCTTTAATTTACCACCCGGTCGAAGAATATGCTCATATTGTTGATTTTAGGGTGCCATTGATAAATGTGACAGAATTTCCGATACGACTGCAAAAATCTCAGTATAACGATCAAACTTCGTGTACATTCTTCGGCCTATTAAAACTTTCATTTTTGAAAAATCGTTTAAAAAATCATTTTATTAGAAAACAAAAGTTTACTCTAAAAAATGTCTACGGAAAAATGTCGTTCATAACTATAACAATTATCAACACTGTTTATTGTATTTGCAACAGCATATTCCTGAACATGGTTCTACCGGCCTTCAGTAAGAGTATTGGATACCATACAAATACATCATTCCTATTGATTTCTTTCTCTAAAATTATTGGTCGTATTTTAGTTCCTTGTACATTTATATTTTTTCCATTTAATACAATTGTATACTTGGCATCCGCTTTAAGCGCCAGTGGTCTCATACTAATAACTATACCCATCTGGCATCAAAGTGTTGTTTATATTTTAGTATGTTTTATTATTTTTGGGATAGCATCTGGTAGTATTTTTGCAATGCAAACGCCAGTGATTGTCGACATTTTGGGTGCTGAATGGATAACTATTACATATTCCACTACACTGTTTTCCGAAGGAATCGCTCAATTAGCTTTCAATCTCTTTCATAATCAGTACTATTTACATTTTAATTTACTATCGGAACTATATTACAGTTTAGGAGTTAGTTTAATGTTTTTATCTTCTTTTTTGGGTATCCTGATACTTATCAAAACCCTAAAAAACTAAAGTTCCATTTTTCCATTTACTGTATTCCTTTAACATTATAAAGTTTTTGATCTATAAATACAAATTCAAGGATAAAGTCAAAGGATTATTAAATTTGTTTACCGAAAATAAAGATCATTGTCTAATCAATTGTACATGTCTGACTAAAAACACTATAACTAGAGGACTACGCGTTAGATGACAATGACACTAATATTAATAATTTTTGTAAATATGTAAATTATTTTATACATTTTTTTTTGTTCTATCAATAAAAATTAATTTTATAGGCTGTAAAGTATACTGTTAACATTAATAAATGATCAGTGAGGCATTAGTCCGCTAACCACCCTGGCATTACCACTGATCTTATTGTATTATATTATATAAATAAACTATATATTTCTTAAATTTAGTTTTTAGCTTCGATGCAAACCTGGAAGGTATTTAGTTTACCATAATGTGTTTATTTATTTATTTTTTTTGTGTCTGTCACTACTTTTTCTCAGCTCTCACTGAACCGATATTTCTTAACGATACGTCAAAAGATCAAAAATCGTATCTAGTTACCCTTAAAAATTGCCAAAATTCCTTCGTTCCCTGTAAATAGGATTTTTAAAATCGGTAAATTTTGACATTATTTAAACCTTTTTTTCTAAAAACTGCCATACCTTTTTGAAAAATGAACGAATCAAATTTTTTTATATTGAAGACTTAAGTATTTCCCTTTCATTTCTCATAAATTTTTCGAAAATCTGGCTCTTTACCTGCCCTCGGGGAGGTTTCAAAATAACAACGTCTGCATAAAAATTTAAACTTGTATAACTTAAGTTTTGAAAATGTCCCGGAAATGCTCCAAGCTTCAAACAAATGCTAAAATAAAGCTTATGTTATGTACTATAAGTTTGAAAAAAAGAATTTATCTCGATACTTATTTTCTATGTGCAAATGGTTGTCGTATATAAAACATGTCATTTTTGTGTTAAACATTTCGATTTTATATTTTATTTTTTTAACTTTAAAATTGGTATAACTTTTTGAACAATGTATGGATCTATACAATTTTTTTTATAAATATTTTATGATTACTTCTTTTATTAGGCATAATTTTTTTTTTTTAAACGGACCATTTTCCTATATACAAAGGGGGATTAAAAACTTTAAAAATATGAGTAAAAAGTAGAACTTTAAATATATGTTAAATTAAAGCTTATGTTAAATATTATATGTGTTAAAAAAATTTTCCCGACACCATTTGTTCTATGAGCAAACAGAATTGTCGAATTCTATTTTCCTTAGGTTGTCGAATTGAACAAAAACTGTAATCTTCATGTAAAAATCACCGTTTTACGTGTTAATATTTTAATACTTAAAACTGCCATAACTTTTTGAAAAATAAACGAATTAAAATAATTTTTTAGTTGTATAAATAATTTTTATTACCTTAGGTATTTCTTTTTCATTTGATATAATTTTTCTGAAAATCTGACATTTAACCTGCCCATTGAGGATGATTCAAAAAAACAACTTTTTCAACTTAAGTTTTGAAAATGTTCCGGAAATACTCCGAGCTTCAATTTTTTGTTAAGTTAAAGTTATTTTATGTACTAGAAGTTCAAAAAATAATTATTTGTGATATTAATGACTTATTTTCTATGTGCAAATAGCTGTTGTAGTTAAAAAACATGCTATGTTTGTGTTTGATTTTTTTTTTTGTTTATTTTAAAACATATTCAAGGGTTTGTCATAGTAATGAGTGCACCAATTTTTATAAATTTTATATGAACTTAACTTACATTAAATATAAATTTTAACTTATTTTGCCTCCTCTAAGTTAAGAAAAGTGGCTTTGAATTTTTGAACTAGCTAATCATTTTTAACTACAAATTCAGCCACACGATGGCTGTTTCAAAAATATTTTAGTCTTCTACGCTCGAGGTATGAAGTTCAAATGAATTATTTTCTTTTTTGGATTTTTAATATGAAGGACACCACCACTGTAGTCTCTCTTTGTGAAAACGAATTTTTTATTCATATTAAAATATTTTACTATATGCTTTTTTCTTGTGCCCATCATTTATTTTTCTCAGCTCTCACTTGTCAATTTTTTGAACATTAGGCCAAATTATCAATATTAGTGTTTAGTTAATGATATTACTTTTGGAATAATCCGATAATTTTTTAAAATTAAACACTATTTACAGATTTTCATCAGAGCGTCTTTTACGATATTGATTTTAATCACTGTCACATATCATCTATACTTAGGCCGACTTTGACACTGTGCTACGGTTTTTTTTTATAATTTTAACAAATATCATAATTAAAAATTAAAAGTAAAAAAAGTTTTTACATATTAAGTGACTTCACCATTAAATGAACAGTAAATATATTTACATGTTCTTTATTAATTTATACATAAACGCCATACTTACATTAATAAATATTTGTTCCCTGGAAAATTCTCTATAATAATAATAATAATATAAAAATATTTCTTAATATGCACTTGGATTCTTATATATTGTGGTAGTGTCAAAAGTACAGCTTAATTGAAATTTAAAGATTAGACAAATTTTTAGTTTATGTAACCTAGGTGTTTAAAAATAGTTTACTTAATAAAATTTTACGTGAATATATCAACTAAATTATTGAAATTATTTGAACATGAATCTAATGAGTTTTCAATTTATTTTGCATGCATAAATATTGATAGTAAATGAAAAAACACTCAAATGTTATGTATAGAGTATTAATTACCCATATAATTTATATTTATGAAAATATTTCAAAATAATCAATTAAAATTTATTTTACAGTAGAAGTAAATAAATATATTTCTATTACAAATTAAAAAAGTTTAACAAAAATTGTTCACATATGAATAATAATAATAGTTTTTACAACTATATTAGAATACTATTTTTTAGTTACATAATCAGTCATTTCCAAAAGTACAATTTTATAAATCATCATACATAAGGGAGCATTTAACTTATGAAATAAATAAATTTCATCAATATTTAATTGAAAACTATACATGGTTATTATAAGTAGTATAAAACAATAGTAATCATTATAATCATATCATTATTATTTTTTTTTTTATATATACTACATTTTTATGAACACAAAGTTTCTTACATACTATTATTTACAATTAAAATAATTTCAATGTGTATATTTAATACACATATTGTATAATATTTAAAAAATTCAGTAAAAGTAAAGTTTTTGTCAAATTAGAAAACAATTACTTGTTTTTAATAAAATTTTAATGTATGATTACCTATTATATAGAGACTTTTATAATAACAGTATATGGCACACATTTTTCTGAGTATATTTATGCTACACAAATTAACGTCACAAAGCATTATTTATAAAAATAAATTATATATACAACATTAATCTACTAGGAAACTGTATTGCAATTCTAATTTCTAATTTGATGATGTAATTTGGTTTTAAATTCTAGATTAAATAGATTACTTTGATTTTTTTTTCCAATAATTATGTAGTAAACTCTATTCATATTTTAATATGTTAAGAACATTTATCTCTTTTTATGGCTTCCAAGATGTTAATGCTAGCTTATTGTTTAATTCTGATAAAATTATTGCACAAACTTTAGCTTTTTCTTCATTCATGATAGCATGGTAAATTTTATCTTCAGGGTCTTGTAACTCTCCTGTTTTTAATTTATTTCTCCTGTTTACTAAACCCTTTTTTGGCTGAGTCAGCTGAACACCTCTACAACTAGAGGGATCATCTTTTTGTTTAGAGCTTGTTTTTTCAGGACGTTTCTATAATTTATTTATACATTTACATGATAAATATAAAGTAATATAATTAATAAAAGATTGAATGATAATGTCACTTTTGTTAAGATAAATATAATTACCCTAGTTTTTCGTACAAATGCTGAAGCATCATAGAATTTGGGTTTTTCACGACGTATACGCTCAGTTCTACGGCGGCCATCGGGTAGAGTAGTAATTCCAGTAGACATATCTTCTTTCGTTTCCTCCGTAGGAGATGTGCTTGCAGATGTCCCTCCTTGTGCTGGTGTAGTTACAGTTATATCTTTTTTTGAAAGATAAAATGAATGTTTGCATTTAGTACAAGTCTTGACAGCAACTGGAAACTGAATAAATAAAAATTTATCATATGAAAGAAGAAATCCTTAATTAAAATTGAATAAAAATTTTTAGGATGACTTATCTAGAGATAAAACTATCTTTATGAAAATAAACACTGTTAGAACTAATTAAATTTATCTTTCAAGTTTATCAAATTAAAAAATGATGATAAATAACTATAAAAATATTGTTCACTAATAAAACCTATTCAAACTTGAGAATTTAAAATTATTCATGGAAGCTTAATTTTGATTTAATATGGCAAAAAATATTTTAAATTACAGAATTCATACCTTAATTTTACAGTTGAATTCGTAAAAATCAATTATTGAAATTTTAACAAATCTCTGACTACTTGTTAACTTAACTAGAATCCCTAGAGAAAAATTTTAAAAGAATAAATACAAACCTGTTGTCCGCAGCCAGGACAGATTTTTTTGACCGACACTTTTTTGTTTTTTAACATGTATTTAATTATATTAAAACTATAATTATAAAAAATTGAATGTTATAAATGCAAAAATTAATTTATATTCGTCATATTACACAGATAATTGTCAAAATAAGAAACTCACATTTTTTCAGTAACAAAAATACACTGTAAACAAATTTATGTATTTATGATCATATAAGTTATTTATTTAATGTTAAATACAAAAAAATAGAATTGATTTGATCGCTCATTTTGAAATTTACTGGCCTCTATCAGAATCAAAATGAACTATACAGGCAAAGATTAAATAGAATTTTTTGAATAATTATAAAACAAAATCTTCAGTGCAGTGCACCAACATTTTCCAAACAATAGGTACTAACATAGATACACCGTACACAATTTGGTAGTTTAATTTTTATCACGAATGGTCGCAGGGAAACAATTCGCTGGACGCAGAGTACTATGTTGATAGATAGCGTAAATTTCGAGCGTTTCTATTGGTTAAAATATACGTGGTATTTTTAATAATCATTGAATGTATGTACATTATTAAACAGTGATTGTCTTACACGTTAATTGCATTTTATGATATAACGTAAGATTTTTCATGATTTTAACTCTTTGTAATTACTTGTTCATTGAAATTGTATTAATTTTTTTATTTTAATATTATACTAAAAATCCTTAATAAGACTTTGACATAAATTGTGATATTACAGTACAAGACTAAACTGTTAGCCTTTAAATATTTTTATAAATTATTTTTAACAGAAGATAGTGGTAGATAAATTATTTTGTCATCAGACGAGTTGAATCTTTATAATAAAAATCATTGTGGGAGCTGTGCCCCAATACCACAGAGCTTTTATATTTGTATTACTATATTAAGATATATAATAATCACATCTAATAGTCCATAATAATAAAATATATTATTATGAACTATTAGGTATGCATATATGGTATTATTTTTATTAAATCCATTTTAAACATTTAATATATTTTAAAATAGAATCCCGTTAAAATTAACTACGTATAAACAATAACTAAATATTAAAGTTTAATCGCGTCGATTAAAATTTTTAATAATGTTCTTACATTAATCATGNTTTTAATAATGTTCTTACATTAAACATGCTCAATAACTTTTAAATTAAAATATATATAAAATTTCCAAAATATCAAATATGTATATATATATATAATAAATAAAATAATAATTGTTCAGAAAGATATGTCAATGTGGGGTATTAAAATTGCTTAAAATAATTTTTTCATAGCTATAATTTAATTTAAAGTTCTCTGAAAAAGAAATTTTCTGAAGTTATTGATTTCATTATTAAATCAAGTATTAACATTAGGAATTTATTATGTCGTATTAAAAAAAATTAATCTGTTTACAATTTATACTAATTTATAAAACATTATTTTATTGTATATATTACAAAGTTGATTTTTTTTTATATTGCATAATTCTTCTTGCCAATCAATTTGAGATTTATATACATTTTACAATTAATGGTAAAATTTTTTTTTGATATAATTTCGTAAATTCATGTGACCTACAAACTTAATACGGTTTAGCATTTTTTGTGAGATCGTAAAAAGTTGTGCCAGTTCTAAAAAAAAGTTAATCGAAATTAACCGATTTAAAAATAATTAATTTTTTGGGGATATTTTCCCATTTATAGGGGAGGAGGGAAATTTTTTAATTTTTAAGCATAATGTCTTCATATGATACGATATATGTTCTTTTAACGTATCGATAATAGAAAACGGTTTGATAAAAGCTGTGAAAAAGTAGCGACAGACATAAAAAAGACACATCATAGTAAATTAATACCTTTTCAACTTCGAATCAAAACTAAAACACGTTGCGTTTTTTAGAATTAGTATTTAAAAGGATATTTTATTTAAATTAAATAAACAGTTGCCTTTTAATAATTGGTTCTTATGTTAATTTGCGCTAAGGGTGTCCTATATCCATAATTGCGGCTATTACCTGAATATCAACAAGCTGAACTGTTATTATTAAATATTTAATATTTTTTGAGAGGGTATATAGCACTCATTCCGGATATAAATTAACAAAAAATCGGTTGCCAATAGTCTGATTACCATGGCCTATCTGTGTATTTAATCTCTAGTACTAAAAATTATATTAGCTGTATCAAGTGAATACATGCTTATTACTCATATTCCCGGTATTTTTGAAAAAAAAAACATTAAAATCCTTAGTATAATAATAATAAGTGTTATATTATAAATTAATGTGTAATTTAAAGTTACATTAAAATTATTTGTCTTAATAATCATTTCATTATCACCATAATTACATTTATATTTGAAAATTTTATTTTTAAAAATACAAAATTTTCTTATCAATAATTATCAATTTATGAATAATTTGATTTTCTTATAATCATTTTTGTCATAATTTTTCTGTAGTTAATTATGAAATTTAATTGATTATTTAAAAAATGTTTGCGTTATATTAGTTGTTTAAGCAACACGATGGATCTGACCATTTTTCCAATTTAGATAGGGCATTTAGCATTAAATATTTTAAACTTCACTTGTAATATTTGTAAGTATTTAATTTATTAATTAATGTCCAATATAAAATAATTTTGATTTCTATTTTTTTTTTAGATTGAATGAAGAGATTTGTGAAATGGCATCACTATGGCCAATTATATCTAAAATACCTGTAAATTTAGCATATCATTTCACGTCACACATAAGTATTGAAAAATGTATGGAGGATGCTATTAATTGGCATTGTAAATTTATTTGCATTAAGTTATTCAAAAATAAACAAATCTGTGATTTGGATTCATTATTTATTTACTCTTGGCCTTGTCATATTATTGCTATATTGCCAGATGTAGACCATGATGATTTTAATGTTCAGTTGAATAAACAAAAACAATTTAACCATGAATTAAGTATACTTTGTGGTTTCCAAGTAAAAAATTTTTTAATTAACCTTTCTAATAAATATATTAATTTAGCACGAGTTATAAGTAAAAATTTGGAAAAACAAATTTTTTTTCATTTTAAAGTACCAATAGAAATCTGTTCATGGGATAAATGGAACAATTTCAGAAATTTGATTGGGTATAGTTTACAATTAGGAGTTGTGCTACACTTGAATCAGAGTTTGCCGTCTTTAGAAGAAATGAAAAGATGGATTGGTGAACCTGTTGTAGCTTTATTGATTGAAACTGACATTTTCATATTAAATAAAAAAAACAATTTTATCTTAAGAGAAGAACACGAAGAAGTATTAAAGCTAGCTATAAAACAAAAATGGACAGTTATGCTGTCAGGAGAGTCTAAACCTGATATAATAAATTATTTTTATTATGTATTGTTTGTAGCCAAAAATGTTGATATACCGATTCCTATTTTAAAATGTGATAATATTTTGCAGTTACCTTTACAACCTTTGAGAGATAATCTCATGTCATGTGTTTATAATGTTTTTGAACAGGATCCAGTTAAGTATACACAGTATCAAAAAGCTATATATTCAGCAATTAAGGATAGAAAATCAGATAATGTCGTTATAGCTGTAATTGGTGCTGGAAGAGGTCCATTAGTAAAAGCCAGCTTAAGAGCTGCTGATTCAGCTTCAGTCAATATAAAAGTATATGCTATTGAAAAAAACGAAAATGCTATTCCAACATTATTATTGTATCAAAAAAATCTATGGGGTGATTCAGTGCAGATAGTTTTTACTGACGGTCGTGATTGGGATCCTCCAGAAAAATGTGATATAATGGTATCTGAATTGCTTGGTTCATTTGGAGATAATGAATTGTCTCCAGAATGTTTAGATGGAGCTCAAAAATGTTTAAAAGATGATGGTATCAGTATTCCTTGTCAGTATTCATCTTTTTTGAGACCAGTTATGTCGCATACTTTGTATAGTCAAACTACAGCAAATACAAATACCGATGATGCTTGTACATCTACTTCCTCTAATGCTGTTTTTGAACAAATGTATGTTGTTCTACAACCTGATAGTTATAAACCAAATCATCCTAAAATTTTATTCATATTTGATCATCCCTCTAAAACTATATCAGATAACTCAAGATATAAATGTTTAGAATTTGAAATTAATGCTAATATGCAACTGCATGGTTTTAGTGGATATTTTCATTCTGTTTTGTATAAGGATATAATAATAAGTATTGAGCCAAAAACTGAAAGTGTTGGTATGTTTAGTTGGTTTCCAGTATTTTTCCCCATCAAAGATACTATGCTTGTGAAAGCTGGGGAAATTATAACAGTTCATTTTTGGAGATGTTGTAATAAATATAAAGTATGGTATGAATGGTGTGTTTCATCACCTAAACAAACACCTGTGTATAATTGCAATGGAGAATCAAGTTCCATGAGGTTATAATTTTTAAAATTCATGTTAAGAATGAATATATTTTCAGCATATTTCATGATATTTTAAAATTTGTTATAATATTGAAAATATATTATAAATTCTGAAATATTAAAATTGTGTATAAAAAATATAAAGAAAATTATCTGTGATAATACAATTTTTATGTCATAATTGCAATTATCATTAACTTGAAAATTTATTTCTTATTTATTAACTGTAAATATTTAAGTAAATGCTACTTTAAATGAATTAATATAAACATTATTATATATGTAGACATATAAGTACACCCAGAGAAAAACCTCGATCTATATAATAAATTCATTGTTCAATATGATAAATATATCATTACTATTGAACCTATGATATCTTTATCAATATGATAATTTTTTTTCTTGTCTTGAACAATAATTATTTATAAGAATAATTATTTTGTTCGTATTAATAAAACATTATCATAAACCCTTGATAAAATTTCTCTATCAAAATTGATTGAGGTTTTTCTTTGGGTGTATATTTTTAACTATGTCTTATAAAACTTGTTTTTAGCTTCAATGCGAAGTCGAAAAGGTATTAATTTTACAATGATGTGTTTTTTTATGTTTGTTACCACGTTTTATCAGCTCTCTCCAAATCTATTTCTTTCGAAGATATGTCAAAAGATCACAAATTGTATGTAATCGAAAACATTTCCCACAAAATTTGAAAAAAATACAATTGAAATATTCAGAACTATATTCCGTATAGTTATATTATAGTATTCTATAATATACTGATGTGTACAAATATTCCGTGCCTAGTTTCCCTATAATTTCGTCGGCTGTTATGTTTTTGACTTACTTTTTTTCGGTTATGTTTTTTTAAGTTGATAAATCTATTAAACTAGTTATCCATCAGTTTAGGTAGAGTACTCAACGTGAAACCGTTTGCTTCAACAGCATAACTTCCCTAATATAATAATGTTTTAATTAATAACTTATTTATTTAATTAATTGGGTTGAAAATTTTTTTATTGCCCAAAACACAAAAAAAGTTGTCTTAAACGTTAAAACTTACGAATTTTTGAACTCAACTGTCGTTAAAATCTTTTGTTTATTAATTTGTTGTATGATTTATCGTTTCCATAGTAAATATTTTGATCAGTATAAAAATTAGTTATTTAACATGAAATATATACATTTTAGTAATTTTTTTTATTGTGAAGAATATTTTTTTTGAAACAAGAGAATTTAAATTGATCAATTGATTAATACATTTTATGTTTCTTCAAAAATAGAAAATATATTATCATAATCATATCTTAATTATCTTGCAGTTTTGTTTAAGTTATTTTGAACAAGATTAATAATTTTTTATTTCTAACAGTTCTATGACGTTCATATGGTGTGGGCTGTCAGGGTTTTACCCCCTCTCCTTTCATTGTTTTATTATTACTATAAAATGTGTATAATTTTAGTTTCCATAGTAAATTTATTTTTTGAACAGTAGATACAATTAGATTCTTAAATAATTAAATAAAAAAATTTAATTTTATCTTAAAAATTTGTAAAAATAAACTAAGCTTTCAGGAAGCTAACCAAAAGATATTATGTATATTTTGTTTAAAATTTTATTTAGATTAAAAAAAAAAACGGTAGCACAGTGGGGTCGAGGCACAGTGTGGACGAGGCATAGATGGGACAAGTATAGATGATATCTGACAGTGATTAAAATCACTATCATAAGAAACGCTTCGATGCAAATCTGTAGATAGTGTTTCCTTTAGAGAAATTGGTGAAATATTTTAAAAGCAACATGAACTCTTATTTCTTTAATTATATCCTGATTAGTAGTTCTTTGATTTTAAAATATAATATATGAATAAATACTAATTATAGTTTTTAAATTTAGTATGAAATTGTGAGGCCATCTATGATGTATGGTTCCTAGTGTTGGGCGGTTGATAAGAAAGTAAAGCAGAGAATAAGTGTAGCAGAGATGAGAATGCATAGTTGGATTAGTGGAGTGACTAGAGAAGATAGGATAAGGAACGAGCATATAAGAGGAAGTATAGGTGTTGCGTCAATCGTGGATAAGATGACAGAAAATAGACTTAGATTGTTTAGTCATGGTATGAGGAAAGAAGAATCGAAAGCTGTAAGAACAGTTATAGAAATGAATGTTGAAGGAAGAAGAGATAGAGGAAGACCAAAAAAGAGATGGAGGGATGCTATTGAATGCGATTTGAGGACAGCTGATGTGAGCGTAGAAGATGTGGGAGATCGTGTCAAGTGGAAT